TCCTTCTTCTTGATTATAATCTTCCCTTTAGGAATCACCAATATGCCTTGATGAATGACCTTGGAATCTAGGCTTGTGGTAGTGTAATACCCCTCGGATCCGAGACACGGGTTGATCAGGCCCGTGCCCAAACCCGATGGAATATCAAACAATTAAAGTATTTTTAAGTGAACACAGATGACAAAATGAAATAATAAAGATGGAATAAAACTGAAAAAAAACATTAATTATAAAACCTTCCATGCATAACTGAAAAATAAAACTCCAATCCTCCAAAACTTTAAGGTTACAACTTGCGAATCCACTGGTGGACCCCTAACCAAAAGTTCAATTGAAACTGAAACTGAAAATAGATAATGCTAGAAACATCGAGAGAAATCCTACGTAATCAGATGAAGGTGAGACTGTCCTTAACAAGCACGATCAAGCTCTAAGGCTGGAACCGTCCTGTACCTGAAAAGAATAATGAAGGAGTGGGTCAGACCCACGAGCAAGTTTTAATCTAACTGCAATCCATATAGTGACCCGATACGCAGATACATCGTAGACACCTCACAATATCTATCTAGTCCATACGTATAAATATATCCACACTAAGGGACATTCACTAGTCTGTAATAGGGGTCTCAACCTGAATAGAAGGCAACATGCGAATACGCACCCAAATGTGGGCATGAGTACCTAGACCTAACAGGGTACACCTCAACCTATTATAACCAGCTACGCATCCACCGCATATACGCACCCTAACCAACGAGTCTGAGACTCAAGCTCTGCTTGTGGTACCATAAACATATATATAATTCATCCAAATCCTGGGTATGTAGTTCAAATACTTAATAAACTGACATACAACAAACCAACTGGTTAGTCACTCAACTTATTCAGTTGATGTGACTTAACCACCGTCCATTAATCTAGGAAGCCACTCAACTTAGTTGCAGTTGATATGTCTTAACCAAAATTTGGATTTAATATTTATAAATCCATTCCTTAAATTCGTTAGGTTAGGTTTAGGTGTTTGGAGCTAAACCGTCACCAGTATGTCACCGTCCCATACCGGTGCATACAATCCTCCATATCCTTGTAAATTACATCATATATATAACAGTTTAGTAATTTACAATCCAAAATTTATATCCAAATAATTGCAGAAGGAATATTAACAATCTAGCAATTAAAATCCAGTAGTAATCCATGTAATTGCATCGAAGAATTAAATATTCTAACAATTAACATCCAACACATGTATAGTTCAAATTTAATAAAACAATGATTCTGTCATGTATTTAAAATTAGTTCTATAATAATATTATAGTCCAATAAATCGTTAAATTAATCTAAGCGATCTAGTTTCCTCCATCCGGTAACAGAGAACTAAGTCATATACTTATATTTTGTTGTATCCTTTAGCACAGAGCCCCCAATATGCTACAAGTCCAATATATTACTTTAAAAGACTTCATCGTGCATCTAAAATAAATTTAAAATCATTTTATAGCACCCTAAACCGTCAAATTAAAATTAATCAACAAATCTCCTTTCAGCCGTTAACTGTACGCAAAGTTGTCAAATAGCGTACTGTTAATTCTATTTAAAACTAAAGGGTAAATTTATGCAATTCAAGACCTTAGTTACATATTAAAATTATTATTTAAACACCCAATTAAAATTTTAAAACTGATTAATAACCCAGAATGCCCAAACAGTGACTGAAAGTCACTTTTACGCACAAAACAAAGAAAGAGCCTGCTCTAGAAAAGTAGAGCAGGTTCAAGGTGACATAGAGCCGGCTCTACCACACCTTGGAGTCGGCTCTAACAGGTGGGAGCCGGCTCTTGGCATTCCAGAGCCGGCTCTCTCTCCCCCTGTGAGCTTCCTCTCCGTTTTAGCTTTGTTCAGACCTCTGTTCTAACTCCGGCCAACTACAACCCTTCTGTTTGGTTTCTTAAACTGATCTTAAGTATCTTATTAACACCCAAGAATATTCCAAAGGTTTGATAACAACCATTAGACCCAATCACAGAGATTAAATTTTGCTACCGAACTAACATGCGATAGGAACAAATCTGAAACTATTTGACAAATTGAAACAGAACAAATTGCAACACATATTTAAAATAGAATAATAACAACCCTATGAGTTTTATATAACCCCAGTATTGTTCCTATATTTTGTTTACAGTAGTTGCAATCAAATACAGAGACTAAAGTTACAACAAAAACAACGTGCTTGCAGGACAGAAAACTAGAACGAAACTTGTATGCACTGCAACAGATTTATTTTCAACACCACAGATCATCAATATAGCATAAGTTAAACAGGTAAATTCCAGTTACTGATTGATTAAACCCTAAAGATTATCTAGGTGCACAGAACACGAGCCAAAGAGAAGGAGAAAGAGAATAACTTACCTGTGATTTCAGTTATGAAATCTCGGCGTCGTCTCTAAGTTTTCCGGCAATTCTGAACGCCGTCAAGCTTCCTATAAGTCCGTCTCTAATCCTTACTCAACCTCCTTGGTCCTCTCTGTAAAATTCCCCTCAAGCATTGCTCTGTTTCTCTTACGTCTCTGTTTTCTCTCTGTATTTCTTTCTTATCTTTGATACGTGAATAGGAGTGGTATAAAGACTTTTTAAAACCCTAAGTTGTCTTAATGATATATTTATAGGTTTTAAACTACAACCCTAATCCAAAATTTCTATCCAAGAAGGAAACACAAATACTGTTATACTCTACCTCAGTCAAATACGTGAAACCCTAAAAGAAAATAAAACCCGACGATAAACAGTAATTCAATTAAATTCAATAAAACAAATAATTAACAAACCAATATAATCAAAATGCTAATTTATTCAAACAACTTTTGAAATAAAGTTCAAATAAATCAGCTAATGAAAACAAAACAAATAACACACACAATTAAACAATTAATTAAATAAAAATGCAATTAAATCAATTAAACAAATAAAATGCAATTTAAACAATAAATGAAATAGCAGGACTATCCTTTTGAAATTAGGGGTATTACAGGTAGCCTCATTTAGAAGAGAAAACAAACCCTAAAATCTAGAGAGAGAAAGTGTATTCATTTTTCTTGCTCTAAAAGTCATCCCTAAAATATACATGGATCCATGTATATATAGGCAAAATAAAAATAAGAATAAGGAAACAATAAATCATTCTCCATCTCTAATTCAACTTTCTCAATTCTAACAGGACTCCAATATCAACTTGGGCTATTGGTGAGAATCATTTTGAGCTTACTATTTTCTTGGCTCCTATAAATTAATAATTGGTTCGGTCCATTAAACCATGGACCCAATTCAATTAATTAATAAATTAATTTGTACTCCACTAAAAGAAATCGATTACTACACTAAAAGAAATTAATTACACTCCAATTAAATAATAAATAACCTCTAAGTCAATGTTGCACTTTGACCCCTCTATGCATAATTATTTATCGGATAATTAAAGCCATCAATCCGACAATATAATTAATATAATTATTTTGTTACCTTTTGATTATTTCCGGCTCGATCACAATAAAATATTTATTTGACAAAAATAATAATTTACTAAATAAATATATATAGAAAACATTTGTCTAAAACATACGAAGGCCTTCGAATTTAATTTGTGATCAACCATAATCAAAACAAAATAAATACAAATAGCATTGATGTAAATATTGAGAATATAGATCTCTAACTATTAATTACATAATTACCCAAAGTGTCAATCTAAGGATTCCGAAGTATCCGCCGAACAAATCGAAGTAATTATTAATTAATAAAAGAGTCTATACTTCTCTCATACTTGAGAGTCAAAAGTCATGACTGTGATAGAGAGCAATTGCATACGACAACTCTTGCAATATATCTCAATCTATCGTGAACTCGGTTCAAGTCTTAACTAATTAAATGTCCATCCATAATTACCGACTTTGAACCATTTATGATAACTAATTTATAACATAGTATTAATTGCCATTACATACATATATAAATATATCTTGTAATCAAGTGGATACAATCAATTCCATAATGAATCGAAAAATAATACATTCCATTCACCAATTGTATAATGCTTTAACAATAATATTCAGATAAGGAACCACGACTTTTACAATCCAAAATTAGAATTTGCTATACTAGAGCACACATATCCTAACATTATGTTTTATGCAATTCGTCGTAGATCCAATAATTTGGTCTAAGAGAATTGGGTTTTCACATTTATCAACATTAAATATAAAAAGATGCTTTCCAAACCATTTGCTAAACCACATTGATTGAGGATTGTCATAACAAATTTCTTTAAATATCGTGAAGTAATTCATTTTTCAAATTTTGTTATGTTGCCTTCAGGAGCAAAAACTCATGCCTTAATATTGAAATTGTAAATCATGTCAATTCAAATTTTACAATAATTTAATTCTAAAACATGGACTCAGTGCTTGCAAATGTAGAATATCTCTAGTGAGATTTTGAATAAATTTTTTGATCATATTCTCTAATTATATAAATTAAATTAATCGAATTGATTTTTGAAACATTACAACCAAGCACAATGGGTTTTTCCTTAAAGTAAATGACAAATTTAGGTATAATATATAAATTAAATTATACTATTAAATACGAATTTCAAATTTAATGCACCAATTCAATAGGCATGTAAAGAAAACAATATATATGTAATTAAGGGACAATTAAGAACCAGGTCGCACATAATTACAGTGTGAAGAAATATTTTAATCTGACTTTTCAAGTTTTACCGTTTCAAGCGAGCAATGATAAGGTGCAACAGTAACTATCTGCATCTGGAATCCCCATGTTGCCACGTGTAACCATCTTCACCATATCCAGAATTTCCTCCCCACCAATATATGCAAACTACTTCAGTACAGAGTAGTGTATTTTACCCACATTGGTGTGGCCACGTGGCCTCTTCTGGACCACTTGTGTCACAAACTTGGTTAAGCAGACAGCTTCTACATGTAATGAATCTACCAGGACGCATGGCAGATCAATAGTGAGTCGGCAACTCTCTCTCTCTAACTCTACACTCTCTCTCTCTTGGTCACATGTACTAATTGCTTCCTTTGGCTGGTGCTTCCTTTGGCTGGTTCTTTCATGGATGTAAAACAATAGTCAGCAGAAGGTTGGTTTGATTACAAAGGACAGCAGGTGTGAAGGTATGTGGGTCTCCAATTATCTCCTTTTACTTTAATGGGTACCCGTTATATTGAATTATGATGGTTTTCTGTTTGGTTGCTGAGAAAATGCAAGAAAATAAAATAATTGAATTTTGAATGTGGGTTTTTCGGAATTTGGAACCCCCACAGAACAATATTTTTACCCTCTTTGTCTTAGTTGAAGCAAAGTTCTTCAGATTCTTCGTTGATCAATGTTGAATTAAGTTGACAGGGATTGTTTTATACAATTTATTTTTTTGTTTCCTAGACTATTTTGACTAGAGAACACAAGAAGTTAATCCAACTTGGTTCGAGCCACTAAAGCTTATTTTGGCACACGAAGTCCAAAGTGCTACATAAGTTTGTTAGGTTTTGTTTTGGAGACCTATAATTATAGATGAAAAACATGTGATGAATATGAACACTGTGTATTTAGTTGATTGAGTGTTCATGGCACCAGTCTTGTGAAGAAATCATTGGTTTACAATCAGGAATGGATTGAATAGCTCCCACAATAAAATTCTCCAACTTGGTGGCCTATATGCTTTTGGATTTTATTGGTTATTTAAGAACAAAATTTACTTTTAAGTGAATTACTTAATTCCATTGGGAGTGTTGAGGTGAGAGGTCTAACTTATCTATAATAAATATTTGAAAGTACTTCCCAATAATAGAAATGATATAATAATAATAATAATATTGTGTGGTTACTTTTTTAGACCTGTTGGTGCCTCGGTCTCAGGTCTAAGACTCTAAGGTTCAACTCTCATTGGGTGCAAATAATTCTTTGGGGGAGGGGGGCGAGTACCAACTAGGAAAGAAAAAAATTTGTGTGGTTACCTTTGAATATGTATTCATCTCTCTAAAGAACATTTAAAGCTGCAATTGAAAGTGAGAGACAAAGGGTTGGGAGCTCGAGAACTTGTAATCTTTTTTTTATTTTTTTTTATTTTTTTTCGCATGGTGAAATATTTGATCGAAATTTTTTGTTTTTTTGCATTGTGAAACCTTTGGCCGGTAGCTGGGATTATATTTAGTGGTTGTGCTGTTGTTGTGAAATCTTTGGCCACTATTCATTCTGGACATAAGTTATACACCATATCATGTAAATCTTGTGTCCTGTGTGGTGCATGATTTATGTTTCTTTCATTTTTTTGGCCGTATTCTTAATTTCGCGGCCTTTGTGGCATCATTTGTACCTTCTTGGAGGTAAAAATAATAAAAAAAAAGGTTTTGGTTACTAACAATTTCTTTACTATTCTTTGGCAAGAGAAGTCTACGCCCATAATTCTATGTTATACTGCTACTAACTACCTTTGCTACTACCAAATTACATCCTTTAGCTGATGGCTTGTGAAAAATTGTAATAGTTAAAGCTGGCAATAATGCTGTTAGTAAATACTCTTAAACTGGATCGTTTATAAATTTAAGTTAGAAATACTAAATTTAACAAGTTAATAAAAAGGCACTATAGTTTAGAACTGTCACTTCATTTAAGATGGGAGTGCGAGAGTACCAATTAAAAAAAAAATAATAATAATAATAATAAGAAGGCACTATAGTTTGGAAGTGTCACTTCATTTAAGATGGGAGTGCAAATATCGCCGCCCAAAAAATTAGGAAAAGATATATATCGCTAGTAAATTAAGCAAATACTAAGGATCATATGTACTAGTTCAAAGAGGTGGAAACTTTTTATATACCTTAAAAATTTACAAACATTTAAAAAATTATTATAGTCCATTTGAAGTTCCAGGGAGAATTATGTCTTGAACTCATACCCTTTCATCAAATTAATGATTAACTTGGTTTTGTGGGTTAGCGCTAGATAGCCCAATTCTCACGTTTGTGGTCTCACAACAACTCACACTTAAGTTAGTTACAACAACTCACACTTAGGTGAGTTCTCCAAAGCTTATGTGATTCGTATTTGTTAGAGTTGCTGCACAATCAACCGGATCCTTTCATGCCAGTTGTTGTGGCGGAAACGCAACGAATAATTAAAAAAAAACAATCATACACAAGATATATATGGTTCACCCAAGTCTTAAGGCTACGTCCATGGAGAGTACCGAACAAATTCCACTATGAAAAAGATGAAGACTTGCAATAGAGAGTTTTCTCTCAATTGCTCTCTCTTGTGTTGGCACAAATTAATCAATCATACAACGCGTATGATGATCTCACTTTTTTCTTCTCACACCCTAAATTCTGGTTAGAGTTGATATATATAATCCCGAACAATGGAACACAACTTGTCGAATTTGCCTTTTGTAGAGTTCAAAACCAATAAGGAAGTTAAAATATGCAGATTCCCATGGAAGTTGAACCGGTAGAAACTTCTGAACCGGTTCAACTATGTTACCCAAACGCACTGAACTCACTGCCGCACTTGAACCGCACTTGAATCGGTAGAAGAAGGCTGAACTGTTCAGTGTTGGCAGTAGCCAAAGTCAAATTAACCACTCCAGTTGAAATGGTAGAAACTTCTGAACGGGTTCAAACACGCTAATAGTCAAAATATAGAAACAATTAACTTCCCAAAAACTTTCACCTAATCAACACGTGATCAGACCTTATAAAACCACAACAATATCTTATAGGAGTATGCTTGCGCCAAGCTCATTTGAGGCATTGCCCACATTAAACAAAACTAATCACTGGCTTAGGGATGGGTAGGAGAGAATCTTCAAGAAACCTCCTAAATATATAATGTTGTAAGCAATCTGGATTGTTGTTCCCGCTGAACCTTTTAAATGGATCTCCAATCAAAAAAGACAGATTGACTCTGTAGGTGACTCCCTTGTGGACTTATTTCATTCCCTTAACAAATCACTAATATAAGACTATGCTTCTAGATGAAAGACCCTTAATCAGTGTAAATATTAGCCACAATTCATCTATTGATTCGAAAATATTTAACTTGGATGCCCTTTATATGTCACTCTAAACTCATATATTCCTTAAGATGAAATATGAAACTTGGCCCTGGTGACTAAAGAAGCATCAGGTCTAAGGTTTGACTCCTTGGTGCAAATAATTCCTTGAAGAGGGTGTGCGTGTACCAACTAGAAAAAAAAAATCCACATCAAATGCATAAGTTTAAAATTAGTAATAAATTCTTATAATAAAGATCCACAATTTGTACTAAAAACAACTAATTGTTACTATTTTTATGAGTAACAAGAGTTTAAGCACATGCTCCACAAAAATAAAGACATTCATGCCAACCAATATAATAAATTATAAACAATGAAAGCAAGGAATAGAATGATTTAATTGAAATAAGGGTGAGATACACAAGTAGTGCATTATAATTTATTGAATGGAGTTTTATTATCATAAAAATAGACTATAGTGCACTACACCACCCCAAAGGTCTAAACATAAATATGATAATATATGTATATATATATATAAATATATCAATTCCACTTTATCTTTGATAATTTTAATTACTTTTATGTTATGTTTGGGAGCACTGAATTGGTGCTTTCCTCCAATTCCAAATTCTAGATGCTGATTGAGTGCTCCCAAACCTATCGTTAAGCTCATTCTTCTATATTGGTAGTTGTTTTGTTTCATTATTACTTTGGTTAAGCCAAATTCTCTATTTTTATATCTTAGAGAGAGTATATATATATATATATATATATATATATATATATTTCATGAAGTGAGACATACACCACCCCACAATTCAAGTCCATCACAATTGAATCTTAGAATTCGAACCATAAAAACACGAATGATTTACTCTCGTAGCTAATTTTTATAATCTCAAATTTTAACTTTAATAAAACTTCATTATTATATGCCACCACTGTTCTAAAACAATTTATAAAACTTTCTATTTCACTTTTCTAACCTCTCTTTTTTTTAATCTTCTTAACTACACATTATCACATTTCCGTAACATATAATTCATTTTTTTAATAAACCTATATTTCATGAAATAATCTTTAAAAAAGGAAATATGTTGTTCAAAATAGATTATAATATTTAAAATAGTTCTGTATACTTTTTTATATATACACTGTCTTTTATTGTAAAATTATTTAGTATTTAATGTTTTACTTTTACTATTTCATATAAATCTTAAATTATCCATAGAACTTTATGAAAACAAATATTATTTAAGACTAGACCACGAATTACCCATAGAAAGACATATGGGCCGCCGATTACATATAGAAAAAGTTGAAGGAGAAAGAAGTTCGGTTTAAATTTCTTTCACCAAGTTCGGTTTAAATTTCTTTCACGTATCATATTTCTTTAGCATTTGCTCAAAGTTTGATGGGAGGACCATAAGCATACTTTCAAATAATTTTTGCTTGTTCAATAGTTATCTTCATGGACTAGCTATTCATTTTTTATTAGTGCCCATAATCTTATTTATATAATTGGGGAAGAAAATTAATCTTCACACATTAATAATAATTGTTGTACAAGGGATGCCTATATATAGAAAACCCTCCAAATAGAAAATGAAATTAAATCTCCTCTAATATGTTAAAGCATTTTAGAAATATACAAATCTCCAAAAATTTGCTAGAGTGTTCTAAAAAGACGTAATAATATGTACAATAATTAGCAAAATTGTGGCGCTAATAGATACATTTAGTTGGCTTAGTATCTCAGTTAGCTTAAAATAATTTTATCACTTAATCATTGGTGATGGTGATTCCGACAAGTTGATGTTCACTTGAGACCTAGAAGGTAAATTAAGCAATTTAAATAATATAATAACACATTTTGCAAGTAAAATACTAGTCACCTTTCGCATCAAGCAAACAAAATTCAATGAGAATGTAGACATAGTTTTGTATTTTGGATTAAAAATAATAGGGGAAGTGCTTCAAAAATTACTAACCCGATCTTCTCCGAGAATCTTTCACTTTCTAATTACTATACATGTTGTATCTTTCTAAAATGTTCTAACATATTTTTTTTGTACGTGTATCTTTCTAAGATATTCTATCAGATTTTTTGAGCTCGGGTATATATGGACGTGTCTTGATAAAGGATTAGAGATGATTATTTCATAACCTTGGACAAGATTTTCTCCAATAAGCTTATGAGATAGAGAGGATTATTTAGTAACCGGGATAGAGTTGTGGGGGTAATAGATGCATTATATCGCATATAGTTTGTTTATATATGCTGCAACTAATAAATTTCAAAGTATAACATATATATTTATCTTAACTGTATGCACTATATATATTCGCTATATATTCATCCTAATTATATGGAATACGAATCTTATTTGTATAATTAATCTTAAAGTTATGTCATAGTGTAATGCACAGTGTGTGAGATTATTTTTAATTCGTGTCTTTAAAATGTGTTGCCCAAGTGTTTGTGATATTTTATTCAATAGTGACAAAATATAATATATATATATATATATATGTCAATATGTACAAAAATAATATGGACAAAAAAATCAACTGTCACTAACGGACAAAGTTTGTTGTCAAGCAGTATGATCAAAGTCTGAGTTGAATTTATTTGATGTTTCAGGATTTGCTAAGGTAATATCCAACTGGTTAGGAGGGTAGATAATGACGAGATGGAACCAACTGATTTAGGATTATCTCTGGAATGTTCCAATCAGTTCATTCGGACAAAATTGAATAATGATTCAGGTGCAGGTGTAAATGCAAGTTCTAGTTTGAACGTGACACTTGTGCCATCTGACCCCCTATCTGAATTAGTTTGGTCTCCGCACAAAGGTCTGGGTCTCAAATGTGCTGACGGCCGCTTTTCCGAGAAAAAACTTTCCCTTCTATGGGATGTGGGAACAAGCAATATCGTTCTTTCTCCGCCTGACAAACAAATAGATGAGATAAATTTGGTTACGTCACAAGCGGCTAATTTCTACAGGTCTTGTAGAGGAAGTGATGATATAAATCTAGTGAGTGGATCAACTGATAAACACAATACAGGTAATTGTGCTTCTCTTCTTGCGTACTTAAACCGCGACTTATCAAAATTTCGTAGATTTGGTTGTTATATTTATTTTTATTTTATTTTGCGTACTTAAACCACTAATTATAAAAATTTCATAGATTCGGTTGTTATATTTATTTTTTTTTTTTTTCTTTTTTTTTTTTTTTTCGTGTGTTTTTCACACTTATTCAATGTTTGAGCTAACTTTTGTTTGACAGGAACCAGTGATAACATGGATGAAATGAATACTCATGATGGGGAGCATCACCCCAGTGCAAATAACATTCAAATTACTAATGTTGTTAAAACAATAAATCACAATGCAGGTAAATATTGCTAGTGTTTGAATTTGTTATATCTAACATGTTTACCTTACATTAGTATTTATCTATCACTCTTATTTATAGCCTTCACCTTGCCAAGGGCACCGTTGATGGCTTACATTAATTCTCTAGAATTTTACATAAGAATATTTGAGAACATTATTGATACTTTTACTAATAAGAAGATTCCACAACTAACATTCAAAAAAATATTAGAAAATTCTATACAAAACTAATACATTTCACACAAATCTAGAACTAAAGAATTGGCCTTCTCTTGCCATACTGTTACCTATTGTCAAGATTTTCAGGATCAAGATTTTATATAAGATCAATGAGGGGTCGATAGGATGGATAGTAAGATTCTATAAAACTATTAGAAAAAATAACTTAAATTAACTTTATAAACAAAGATATTCGATATAAGTAGATATTACAGCTAAACAACCAACATGACCAATATTCTAACAAAATTAATTAACTTTAAAAATAATAAAACACATGGCAAGCACTTAAAATCAAGTTCTTCATTTCCTCTGTGCAAAAGCATCAACATAACAATAAAACAGAATCTCATAGAAGAATTAAAACAAAACCCAAACAAATAAAAAAGGGGAATAGAGAAATAGATAGAAAAGTACAATTTAGTTGTCTAATTGCATGAGCAATTTATTTGAAAAGATTATTTTTTTGGTTCAAAAAAATAACAAAACAATGATGGAAAGAACAGCGGGAAAAATTGAATTCTGTGGTTTTTATTTTTATTTTTAGAATGGATAGCGAATAGGCGGGGAAATAATGAAATCTCTCTTTGCTTTTGCTTTAGTGTGGACAAAGAATAGGCGGAAAAATAGAGTTCCTTCTATTTCTTGTTCTAAAAAGAAAGAAGAAAAGATAAATTAAGAAGAATAAAGCAAAATAGAAGAAATTTTTAAAGTTTTGAGCCATACCTTTGAAATTCAAAACTGGATCCTACCTTTGATTTGACCTGGGTCTCTATTTTTTATTGTTTTTTTAATTTTCTAATGAAATTAGGCTAAAGAGTTGGGCTTCATATTTGAAATGATTAAATTTATTTTTCCAAATTGAGTTACAGGCTCACAAAAAACACAATTGTGCCTCCTATGCGATTGTACCATCCTACTTCCAGTTCTACCTGTGAAACAAGAGTGACGCAGGGTGCGGAAACAGTTAATTGATTTTAATTGTGATGAACTCCTTTAATGCCCTAGATCTTTGAAACAAAGTATACCGAACTTTGACTCTGGCTCACACCCTATCGCTCCACCCAACACCAACGGCTAACGATCCTCTGGCTTTGCGACTCCCCGTCCAACAACAACTTGACCTTAGGCTTACACTTGATATTCGTAGAAGAGTAGCAAGTAGATCAGACAGCACTCCACGAATGCTCCAACCCTTACAAAGTGTGACTGCGTTTACTTCTGTTCTTCAAGATCTGAACTCGATTATAATAGAATTAAATCCTGCTGATCATTCGGAATATCTGAATCTTTAATACAACTTCAATTCCGATGAGATAGAGAACAACACAACTAAATCACTCATGAATATATATGTGTGCTCTCAAAAATAAATATAGAATAATCAGATTTGATTTTCTGAATTTTTCTCTCTCTAAAGGCTTTCTCAAAATATAGAATTGATTTTCCCTAAAGTCATGAATAAACCAATGTTTATGACAAGGTTATATAGAGTTTAGAATATCCTAGTCCCTCTGAAAATATGAAAAATTTCGTGCATAGGACTTGTAAAGAAGTTGGGATAAAAAAGGAAACAATTAGAACCCTGAAAGTTCAATGTTGTCAGGACTCTTAATACCGGGTCTCAAATTTGTTACCGGTTCAAGAAGGACTTCTACTACCGGTTACCAAATTTGGTACCGGTTCAAGAAGGTCAGAAGCCTTTCCGACGCACTTTGGCTACTGGTTCCCAACTGTGGTATCGGTTTAAAGTTGGCAGTAAACAAATCTTTTATGAACCAAAGTTTGCTACTGGTTCAAAGATTCTCCTACCGGTTCCCACTAGGCAGAATTAAATATTTTGGTTTTCTTCAGCCTTCTAAACTCCTTAAGTGTTCTCACTCACTCACATACCTTTCTAAAGCATTGTTCTCATCATCACGGAGTGTAGGTACTCATGAACACTTGAACTTCTTCAAATCCGCATCCGAGCTTCAATCTTTGAAATTTTGAATAGAAAAATTACAACTCGATCGGACTTGTTTTGACAACGAAATTAGCCAATTTTAAAATTTATATCTCACACTACCAATGCTACATCAATCCTACATTTTAGGATTTTTCATGTGATCAGGATCAATTTAGCAATTTGATATCGTACGACCATAAAATTATACGACCTAGATCGGGATTTTGACAACCATGCCTATTCTCTGCCGTCAATTCAGGCTCTTCTACATTCTTCACACATAAATATGTTGATTAAAAAACAAACCACCTTTTTTTCAACCATCCCTGTAGTGCAAATTACATCCAAATGGCTAAAATTGTTGGAGCTATAATCACAATTCTGCTAGTATTTGACTTGTTTGGTACGTGCCAAAATGGGTCTAGACACTCCCATCACTTGTGCTTACCACATAAAAGAAATGATAAATTTTATAATAATTCCATTTCACTTCAAATCGAGTGAATAGAACTGCCTTTGTTTATGCAAGAACAAAAGTTGATCCTTGAGCCTTTGCGAGGAGCCATTAGCCCAATGTTATAACCCCTTTACTCTCAAAGAGGAGGGAAAGGGTTTGAACCCGAGCATGGGCAATATGTGTGAATACTTGCTTGATAGATAAAAAAAATTGAGAGATGGGAGATTTTTGAGCCATTTCCTCAAATCCAGTGTCCTTTTGCCTAATGCATAATTTTATAAGATACCTTTTGTCGAGAGAAACTGTTGTCTTCTTTTTGCTCTTTCAAACATGACATCTTATCGAAGTGTTGGTTTCCTGCAGATGAAGAAAATCCTAAAACTTCTGATTTTCTACCGCCCACAACCAGTGATCCCATCACTTTTGGCATCGAAGAAAGAGAAACAATGGCCGGGGATTTTAATAAAGTGATGATGACCGATCCTGATGGGAAAATTGAAGATCTTGCTAGTGGCAAACGGAAATTGGGCTTTGAAGTTGCTTTGGCCTCTGAAGTTCGTACAGTGAAACAGAGTGAGGCTCTTGATAATGCAGTACAAAACTTAACCTCTGCAGGCAGTAGATCCAAAGAACTAGCTTTAATTATTAAAAGAGAGAGTGAGAACAAGATGAAGACACATGATTCTACTGATTCTTCCCCTCTGGAGAAGCTAGATTCCACTGCTGAAAGTGGTTTACGGTTTCCTACTAGTAAAGATGATTGTGGGGCGAGTGAAGAGAGATTTCAATGGAAGAATTCTGTTCCACTAGAAACTTCTCCATTGAATAGCAGAGTTCATTTCTGTAGAAGGAAAGGTAAAGAAAAGGCTTTATCTGATGGAGATGCTAACCAAAAATTGTCAAAAGAAGAGGATGAAAGTGATGAGAGCGTTGAAAGTTGTAATAGTGTTGGGTTGTTTACAGCCGGAAAGAGGCCATGGAGCTTTGAACAGCTTAATTTTGTTGGGAGTAAAAGAGTGAAAAAACAAATCCAAGAAAGTCCTGCTTCAACATCCTTTGTCAGACAAGATAGCTCTTTCATGAATTGGATATCAAACATGGTGAAAGGCTTACCTAAATCCACTCAAGATGAGGCTCCTTCACTTGCTCTTACCCTTGCCAATCCTTCGCATGGGCATGAAAGTCTTAATCAGGAAATCGTTGCATGCAACAAAAACACTGATCTTGGAAGCAGAAATATGGGCTTCCAATCTCTTTTTCAATCTTTATACTGTTCAAATGCGAAGATAGTGGAATCTAGGATGTCCAGTGGCGTCTACCCAAAAGGAGATTATAAAGATCCCGTGCTGGATGAGAAAACATGTAATGCTAACATATCTCTGACAACCTGCCACGGGGAGAATAATCAGTTTCGCAAACAGTTCCTTCTATGTGGAAATGGAGATGGTTTGGCAACTCAGCCCAGAATCCAGTTTGCAACTATTGCTTCCTCTCAGGAAACCAGCAAGGCAAACTTGGCAGAGGATAGAACTTCATGTGACCTGCTGTGCGTTGAGGCAAAAGATGGAATACACCCATCCGACTCCTCCTCGAGTAAATGCAAGACCAACAGTGCTGATCCTCCGTCCAAAGGCAAAGCAATCCATAGTATTGGTTACAGGGAAGATCCTCTGAGGAGTTTGTGGATTACTAGATTTTCTGCAAAACCTCTAGGCTCTGTGTTAGATTTAGATCATTATGACCAGAGAACAAGAAGAGCACTGGAGTGTTCAGCTGACTGCACAAGGCCTACTACTCAAGCTCAAAGTTGTGTTGATTTTCCCATTGACCAGAAAGGTTCAGAGGCCAACGAGTACTCCACTGAAGACCCTGCGTTTGCTGGTACGGAATTGCAGAAATATGCTCCCAAAACAGGGGCTGCCTTCAAAAGAATTCATGGATTTGAAGGTCGCCAGTCCACATTTAAGATGAACCCTATTCTACCTTCCCCAAAATATAAGAGCTCAGAAGTAATGGCCTCTGTGTTTGCAAGGAGATTGGATGCCTTTAATCACAACATACCATCAGACGTAAAGGATGATGCAATTAACACAACATCAACTTGTTCCTATTGCGGCAGAAGTGGCCATGAGTTACGTGATTGCTCAGAAATAACACAAACTGAGCTGGAGGATCTTCTAAGAAACATCACTTCATATGATGGAACAGAAGAATCTTCTTGTTTTTGCATTAGATGCTTTCAGCACGATCACTGGGCTGTTTCTTGTCCCGTGTCATCCTCCAGCAAGCAAAATCAACCCGGTGCCTCGTTGGTTAATCATCACACTGCTAAAAGAGTACAGCTTCCTCAAACTGCTGGTGTGCAGGTTATTTGGTTTGGGAAAAAACCTCAAGTGGACACTGGTTTCAATCTGAACCCAAAATGCAGCGGGAAGACCCCTGATAGCAGATTTTCAAATTTGAAGCATATTACTTCGAGTTCTGGGGAGAAAAGGTTGCAAGAAAATCAGAACAGAATTGTGTGCAATTTTGTCAATAAACAGATTTCAGATGTACCAAAAAGAATGTTTGACGCTATGAGGAGGCTTCATTTGACTCGTCGGGATATCCTCAAGTCCGTAAAGCTTACTTCCAGCTATCTCTAAATTTTCATTTTTCATTACTCGTGTTAGAGGAGTAATCCTTGCATACAACATCTATGTGTCTCATACTTGCTCACCTTGGTAAAATACTGTGAAATAAATTATTACATGGAATGGATATGTTTTTATTGAGTTCTAGAAAACAATCCTTCTGAAGAGTATCATCTTAGGCCTTGTTAATTTGTTTTGAGGCATGGTTGAACAGTTGAATTAGCTATTGCCCTTGTTTCAGTACTCGAGTTTACTTGGTGGCAACATAGTGTTAGTACTCAATTTTGAGGCATTTGGTATGCATTTTTATTATTTTCTTATTTCCTAGGTGAGGAATATATTTCTGTTTTACAAGCCAAAACTCAATTCATCTCTTCCTGTTTTTATTCACTCATTTTTATCTTGTTGCGTTGCAAAAAACAGAACTTATTATTTTTTTCTATAATGATTCCATGGCTGTGAACATTGAGTCTTATAGAGGGGTTCCTGAAAGAGTGGGAGCTTGCCATGACTATAAAAAACACACTTGAAATAGCAATTCTCATGCCTATGTCTTTCATGTAAGATTGTAATTCTTCATCATTTCTGCTGCCACTTAATTTTATCTATAGTTGATAATTTTATGTTGCATGGCCTCAGATTGCTAAACTCCCAAGTCCCACTCGATCTGGATGGTTTTTTCATACGCGTACGGCTTGGGAAGTGGGAAGAAGGACTGGGGGGAACAGGCTACTATGTGGCTTACATAACTGGTATGGCTAAAAGCTTATAATTCCACTTGTGAACTTGTTGTATGATGATTTATATAGTCCAGGAGACAAGTATGTGCTTAGAAATGAGAAAAATTATTTAATTATTCTTCTCTAACAGCTGAATTTATATTCTGAATTTATCCGTATTTCTTTTCTCTTCTTTCATCTGAATTAACAGGGTTACAAAGAGAAACATCGTCACATAATTCCACGAATTCCATCCCTGTAAACGTTGGGGGTATCCACTGCACGATTGAAAGTCGGTATGTCTCCAATCAAGATTTCCTCGAGGTAAATATCTGACTTTTATTTTATAACTGTTATCTAAAATTACTTGTTATATATTTCTCAAGCCTTCAGTTCAATTTTTAATCTTGATCAGACTTTGTTATTTTTTCCATTTCCCTTGAAAAATACTGAATTTTTTGGTTGTAATGTCAGTATTGCCCGACTTAAAATGGTATATCTTGATTTTACATGCGGTGAAACCTCGTATGCTTGTTAAAGTCAATATCATATTTAATAATTTCAATCTCTATCACCGTGAATTGCATGGATAACATAAACTTTTCACTCTAATTGAATTTATGTTTGCTGTAATTTCTTTGTTATGCGAGTAGAAAATAGTTTCAAGTTCTACCTTTTTGTTATGTAATGAAATATGGTAACTATTGGATGCTGCCTCCGGTGAGTTGAGTTTGAAGAACTGCATAGTCACACATTACTATCTAACCCGCTCTTCGACAAGTCTTTTAAGCATATATGACAATCATTTTCTCACCCTTTTAAGGTTAGCCCAATGTCTTTGGCATACTGCAGATATATTTGTGAAGAGTAGTTCTCATGACTGATTTATCAACTTTTTCGGCACCTGTTGTTCCCAACATAATTCTCGAAATGTTTGATAATTATAAATTTCGCTATTAGCATCGAAACACGTCAAGTTTGTGTACAGAAATCCATAGGCAAAAATAGCTATTGTTACTAATTAAGTTTAGCATGACAATGATCATTCTGTTGTTGTTTGCCATCATGAATTATTTTGGAGTTTATATTAAAATGTCAATGTCTGATTATCCTTCCAATTGTTGGTAATTCATAATGACTACTTTACGGATAATATTTGATCTGCACTTTCTTGAAAATAAACCAGTAAAACTTTCATGACGTAACATATTTGTTACATTTGCAATCCACAGGAAGAGCTTATGGCATGGTTGTTCACAATCTCGCGAAATGGTGGCAGGATTCCATCGGAAGAGGAGTTGATATTAAAATTTGAAGAGCGAAAAAGGTTAGGCTTTTAGGCGTTGAACGTAGGGTTCATGCCTCACCTGGCCACAGTAGATTTAGCGTTTTGGCTCCATAGATGAACATAAAGTAAGCAAGCACTGGGCCGGATGAGCTACTACGTTGTATTGTAATCAAGGTTTCGAAAAATTTTAGTTTCTCTGTTTTGTATTGTAGTCGAGGTTTTGAAAATTTTTGTTATGGAATCATTCATTGGTAGGTCAAATTTGAAAATTCTTGTTGATGAGCATCTCATTGTTGGAACTGGGGTTGAAATGAAAATCTCCAACTAGAGATATCAATTGGTTGGTACTTGGTTCAAATTGCTGTGCAAAATCTAACTTTATTATTTTGCACCCACCTGCTTATTTTGGTTACATTAATGTATATGTTATCTATGTGGAGAAAAATAAATTGGCTTAAATAGACACTCATTGTCCTGAGTCGGTGATGCAAAGCAGCTCTGAATGGATTTATATAACAGTGAGCATCTTTTATGCAATGAATGTATTTTATACATATATGTGGGATGGGGATTGCTTGTCTTTTTGTGGTGAATTATAGTCCTCCGAGAGGTCTGACCCCAACCAAAAAACAATGTAAAATAATAACGGTCATATTTTCCTTTAGGATAAAGTGCAATAAATTTGATTCTGTCTTTCAAAAAAATTTCCTGAACCTTTTTTTTTAAAAAAAAAACTCCCTAAACTATTCAGATTTTTGCAAAAAAAGACAGATGACACTATTCCGATCAGTGTTTGCCCATAAAGTAATCACTATAAATTAAAATGGCAATCCTACCCTTACCCCCGTTGGAACCTTGCTCCTTCGGCATTGCTTAGCATATAAAGTTACTGATCTCATATACTACATAACCAATCGAACCCTCAACCCAAATGGAAATCGCAATCTCTCTCTATGCTCTGCAACCTTCTGTGATTTACAGTGAGAAATCGAAGGGGTCAGTTTTATTTGTTTCACAAACCAAATCGATCGAAGGTTTGTTGAATCTATGTTGTCGAGATGAAGCCGAGTGTTGATTACAACGCTTTCTGTTAGTTTTTCGAATTAAGCTGTGTCTCTGTTCATAGGAATCTCCAGAACCGTTGCTGCAATTGGGTCTCGGCGTCTCGCTGATTTTGTCACTACAGTTGGCCGTCAAGAGCTCAAGTTTGTCGCTAGTGGTGTTGCTGGAAAAAGAGAGCAATTGTCGTCGGAGTTCTGTCTCTACAACTTCAATGGAGCTCGTGGGTCTATGCAGGTGAAGCTGGCCGGACATGTTCACGCTGATGAAGGAAGTTGTAGCTCTCAATGATATTCACGCTTCCTGTTCTCGACGGTAGGTCTCGTCGGTTTTTACTGGTCTAATTCAGGAGTTCCGGCTGCGGATGGGTCTTCAATGCTGTTCCGGCCATGGGTAGTCGCCGTCCTCATTGCGATTGATGTTATATGACTGTTATTGGAGGGCTGATGCGGAAGAGTAATTAACGAACAATCCAATTAATGGCACTGGTAGTTTGGTTTAAGTCATTCATCAATAATTTTGTCACAATTTCATCTTTTTTGTGAGCATGCAAAATAACAGGGTTCAAGCTTGAACGGTTGAACCTTGAGACAATATCGGCCCACAAATTTCCCCATTGTTAATTTATGTGTCCAGTAAGGGGCAACATTCAAACACTTGTTGAAACACCTCTCTCCTCCGCATCCTTTTTGCACCAAGTACAGAGATGAAGCAATGAAGCTACTGTTGCAATGGCGTGTCTGTTACGAGCAGGAAACAATGTTGCAAACGGGTCCAATAATGGTAAGGTAAAGATGTGATGCGTTGGTAATAAGATGAGAAAGATATGTTTTAATTTTGGTTTTTCTTATTGTCAATATGATGAGCTCAATGGCTGAAGGAAGTAATAGTTTCTGTGATGGAGTTTTCAGAGTTGATTGGCTGTGGTCTGTTTGGTTGGTATTTGGCAATAAATTATGTATAGTAAGTTGTTGTTTGGCACTAAATGACAAGGGCAATTTCGTAATCTAATATTTTCGGTGGGCTCCAATGCCGGCAAATTTAGATTTTGTCCTTAAATTACACAATTTAAATAGTTTAGAGAGTATTACAGGGAGTTACATGGAAGAGGGAGTAAAGTCGGGGGGAGTGGGGTGGGGAGGGGTGCAACTTTGAATTATAGTCCCCCCAGAGGTCTGACCCCAACCAAAAAAATAATGTAAAATAATAATGGTCATATTTTCCTTTATTCGACTAGGGGTGCAACTTACAAGGGTGAAATTTTGAAATTTAAATTTTTAAATTCACAATTTAGGTTCAAATTGAGTTAGATTTTTTTAAAATCGAGATATGTTCGGATTGGTTTCGGGCTCAACTCAATCTAACCCAACCCAAAATAATTATAAAAAAAAACTTTTTCGTCTCTCTTCTCCCTTCTCTTTCATCTCTCTTCTTTCTCTTTTTCTTTATTTTTTTCTTCTTACAGTCCAAGGAGGGAGGGAGAGAGAGCGAAACCAGAAATTTTTTTTCTCTCTCTTCTCCCTTTTCTCTCCTCTCTTCTTTCTCTTTTTCTCTCTTTTTTTTTTTTTTTTTTTCTTCTTATTTTTTTCTTCTCTCCTTGGCCTGAAAGAAGAAAAAATGAAGGGGTGGGGGGGGGGGGGGGGGGAATTATCAGTTTATATTCTGGTGTTTATACAGGATAAAGGTTTTAATTCGATGATGAATTTGGGAAGAGTATATATAAACATTATTTCCACAGTTAACAGTAATTTTAAACTCATCTACAGTTTCATGTTGCCATAAAAAATTGGCCTTCAAGAGTTATAAAAAATTGGCCTTTAAGAGTTCAAAGTCCTCATGCGCACAACTGATATCGCTGGAATATTGGGCTGAGGCAATATAAGTTAAAACCCAACACATTATTTCAATTGTAATAGACAATTTGCACTTTTAGATATTTATTAAAAGAAAAACGACAAATATTAATGAATTAAAAAATAAAATTTTGATGTTTATAAACATTGAAAAGGAAAATGTAATTTGTATATTTGAAAAAAAAAAAAAAAAAAAAATGACCCATGAAACCCGCCATACCCGTCCAAAATATGAAGGTTGAGTTATGGACATAATTCATTTTGGATAAAATTTGGGCTGGCCCAACTCATATAGATTTTGGGTTGAGGTTGGGTTGGGACTAGGTTAGGTTGGGCAGCCCAACTTGCAGCCATAAAATAGTGGTATACTTTTTTCACTTGCAACAAAAATATAAGACGCATAGTATTATGTCCGATTACTCTATCATTGGATTGGTTCAATGAGGGATAAAAAAAATGGACTTGGCTAGTTAAATTTATATTTAACAAGGTTCTAATATATACGTACAACATTCATATACAACATATCTATTATCATATCTATTATTTAATGAATTCGACTTTCACTTCATGGGTTCTAGTTGGTTGAAATTTGAACATCCCCAAAAGAAAGAACGGAAACTCCAAAAAAGAAAAAGATCCCATGAAAATGATGTAGAACAGAAGAAGAATAACTATGTAAAAAGAAAAAAAAATTCCTATTTCGGTCAAAAGGTAATTTGTAAATCTTTCTTTTTTATACTAACAATTCTTCCAGCTTTTGACAAGATTTGGGGCCAAAGAAGAATAGATGATATACCAGTTAGACAGAAGAACAAAACAACAAAGAAGACTTACTAGAGTTGGAAAGGTTTCTTTTTTGATACAGAAAAGAAGAAGAAGTAAAAAAAGTATTTTAATTTCACTCAAAAGTAAAGTTGAATTGTATAATAATATACTCTTTATAATATATTATATAAAGTATAGTGATATTTGTACATATGGTAAGATAAAGTGTAGGTGTAAATTTTTTTCTTAACTTGTTGACTTGTAAGATCGTACTCATGGTCGCTAGGTGTAACAAGGGTCATTTGTCCCACATCGGAATCGGATGGGAAAGTGATTGGGTATAAATGGGTGGGTATGCAGCACTACCCAATAGTTCGAGCTTTTGGGTAAATGGGCAAGCGCCTACCCGTTACAGTTGGTATCAGAGCCAGACCCAGTCCTTGATCCGGTGTCACGCCAAGCACCCGGCTCGGAAGGCGTCCGGGCTAACATCCCGGGTAGGCAGGGTGGCCCGAACCGCAACGAGGGCGTTGCGAGTTTAGGTGGAGGAGAATGTAATAAGGGTCATTTGTCCCACATCGGAATCAGATGGGAAAGTGATTGGGTATAAATGGGTGGGTATGCAGCACTATCCAATAGTTCGAGCTTTTGGGTAAATGGGCAAGCGCCTACCCGTTACACTAGGACTAGGCACCATACTCCATCCTAAGAGACACGTGATTTATAAACATGCAAAATGGGTCAACATTTTAATCACATGAAGCCAAAATCTTTCTTGATTGTTTTATGTGTCGGGTGCAAAGCTAGAAATGATAATACAATTTTTAGAAGAGAAGCTATATACACGCCTAGCCTAATTCAGGGAGACTAGCCACATTGGCATGATGACAATGCTATGTTGGAGAGGTGACGTTAATTATCACTGGTTGGAGAGGTGACGTTAATTACCACTGTTAAATGTTCATTGGATGTGATTGTTAGGGTACACTAACCTTCCTTAAGGTGTGGAGTTTTTAAGATTTATTGTTTTGACTCCCCTTGAAGTTTGGGTGTATGCTCAACAATCCCTCTCCATCAAAACTTGTAATATATATATATATAATGACCAAGTTGCCCTTACACTCATTTTTTTTAATTTATTTTCAAGATTTTTTTTTTTTTTTTAAATTTTTTTATGAGAGGGTAAAAGTGGTGGTGAGGAGAGAGAAAGTAATAAAAGATATGAGATAGAATAATTGATTTTTTAAAATTTTATAATAAAATTTGTATTATAAAAATATATTACATATAAGGGTATAATTGACTCTTTATAGTATTAAGGGATGTCAAAGTAATAAACCTCAAATGGGATATTTTCGTCTAAAAAACAATTTAAACAATTTTTATGGGGATTTTTTTGTGTTATACATATATAATAACTAGTGTTATATAAAATTATAATTTGTAATTTTTTTTTCCTTTTTCAGAATCCATTCACATAACACTAGTTATTATATATATATATACAATCCCCACCTTCTAATAAGGATGTATTAATAATAAAATAAATAAATACTTCCACTAAAATTGTTTGGATATTAAAGAGTGAAATTAGTGAAGTCCTTCTATTACGGAAAAATATATATCTATCTCTTAGTACAAAATTTTTGATAGAAAACTTACATTTTTTTTTCTAACTCTTTTCTCTCTATTCATAATTACTAAGTCTTTCTTCTTGTTCTACTGGGTAGAGTCCTTCCATAAAAATTAATATTTTGGAAAAAGAAGAGTCCTCCTAACAAAAATTGACTACAACTCGTTACTTTACAATTAAGCAACAAAGTTCTGAACTACGGAAAAATACAACAGTGTGTCCATTCAAATTTTGATGAAACGTAATTTGAATAGGCCACCTTAGGTCCTTAACTGATTGATGAATGACATTTTTTTTTTTTTTTTTATAAATGTTCCACTATATTTTAAAACACTCAAATTGAGTGGTTTTGGTGTCTTAAAATACATAAATAAATAATAAAGTTGTTTTCAAATTCAGTCATTGGATGAAATCCAACGACTGAAATAAAAGTCGCATATATTGCTCCCTGCCAGGAAGCAACTGAACGGGATACACATATATATTTCTTTTTACAATTATCCTTGGTGAATGAATTCTTTCTTTTTCTGATTTTTTTTTTTTTAAATCCATTTGTACAAGGATAGCTAACTAAATAATAATCATATAATGACTTGGTCTGTATAAAATTCAACTCTAGTAGAATTTGTTCTAACAAATTTTTTTAAATTTTATTTTCTCATAATGCTTTTTTACAACAATTTAATCAAAAGTTATATTTTTCTTTTTCTCATTATACATGAGTATTAAAGTCATTTTATAGTAATATGATTAATATCCTTAGATGAAATGACCTCATTTGCAATTTTACTTTTTTTTTTTTTTTTTTTTTCTGGTAAGTATTTACTAAGGAATTAATTCTAACATTCAATTCAACTTGCCAGCTCAATACCCATTTTGACAACCGTTACCCAAAATAATCTCCTTGCATCTACTAAAATTTGTTCTTCCATGAAAAGATCTTAATTCCTCATTAACTCATATCCTAAATTGCTGTGATTTTGAGCTGTTTAATTTGTATTAATAAAATGGAGTGATGAAAATGCAGTGATAAATTCCATTTTGCCCAAAAAGAAAATAAATAAAAATATTAAGAATATAAAGCCGCTCTAGCTTTCCGTAATCAGTGGACATGTATTTACTTGAAATTCAATCTAAAAAGCATTTCATCAGAATTCCAAATTTACGTTACGCAACTCAACCGAACCAATAGAACTGATTTTTACTCCACGTTCTCTTAGTCAAACAAAACTCTTTTACTTTTCTCTGTCATTTTCCTTTTCCTTTTCCTTCCCATCCCTTCCAACTTTCCTATATTCCAAACACAGAAGACCAAACATGTAAAAGCAAATCACAATTCAGTTGGTTTTTTGATGTGAAATTTAATTTTGGAAAATGCAATTGCAAACTCTAAATACCATCAAGCGTTTGAATCAAACACACGAACGTTCAGTCTACAATTAAAATTGCATTTAGAAAGCCTTTTAACACACTGACAAATCAAACTACAACGAACTAAGAAAAAGAAAACAGGTGTCATTCAAACTAAGCCCCCACCGATTAACAAATTTACAGACCTAACCCTAACCACGAACCCAACTAATCTCACTTCTTCCCTTTCTTCGCCGTAACTTTCTTCACCGGCGTCTTTATGCTCTTCGGCTTCTTCACAGCTTTCATCGGAACCTTCTTCACCTTCACCGCCGCCGGCGTCGCCACCTTCTTCTTCCCTGGCGTTGTCACCGCCGCAGTCTTTGCAGCCTTTTTCGGCTTCGCAACTGTTTTCGGCTTTGCCACTGCTTTCGGCTTGGCGGCAACCTTCTTCGCCTTGGACGGAGTTGCAGCTTTTGGCTTCACAGAAGCACCGGTCTTAGACTTCGCCGGAACTGCTTTCTTCGTCGGAGCTGCCTTCTTAACGGCGGTGGCGGCAGCAGCCTTGGGCTTCTCCGCCACAGAGAGCTTGAACGAGTTTTTGACCTTCGTGATCTTTCCGCCGGCGACGAGCTTCTTCAATTGAACAAGCAAAAGCTTCTTGAAATTCGGCGGCAAATTTTTCTGTTTCTGTTCGATGAACTTCGCAATCGCTATCTGGCTCGAACCGCTCCTCTCCTTCAGAGCCACAATCGCCTCCTTAATCATCTAACCAATTCACAAACAAATTAGAACAATCATTTACACAAATTTACAAATATATATACATAAATACATATGTATAATTGATCTGTTACCTCGAGATAAGGAGGATGTGCCCTAGGTTTCTTGGGACCGGACGTCTTCTTCGCTTTCATAACTTTAGCAGATTCGGCGGCGGCCACAGACACCATGATTGCAATATATAGAGAGATAAATAAATGAAAGCTCTAGAGAGAGAAAGAAACGACTGGACGATAAATATCCGTGATATGTATTCGTGAAGATGAAATTTGAAGGTCTTTATAGATTCAAAAAACGGAAACGATGACTTCTAATTGGTTAAAGTCTTGTCACGCGGATAGATACCACCTCTGAAATGTTTGAATGTTAGCCTTTGGATTAAAATATTATCAACGGTTGTGGAGGCTTGTTTGGTATGACGCGGATCGCTTGTGGCCTGAGAAATGAAGGCTTTGTGGGAAGTGAAGTGGGTGTGCTTTCCATTTGATTTTGTAAGGGTATAATTTGAGTTAGAGTTAACAGATTTTTATGAAATTTGAAACGTTTTGTAGATTATGAGCTAAGCTATGCAAAGAATATTTGCATGCTTTAAATGGTTTAGGTATGTGAGAGAATTTCACTCCCAAAGTTACATATGTTTTGACATTTGTTTTGTGTGATGCTTTGGATAGTTGAGAAAATTTTATAGGTACACATAGTTTAATTATTGGATAATTTTTAGAGATAGATTTATACAAATGATCCTTCATATTAGAATCAAATCAAATTAATATTACCTCTAACTAAATCAATCGAAATAGTATAATGATAATTGGTTTTAATGTAGTAAGCTTAACTGAAAAATGAAACCTACATTCAACTCTTGATTTGGTATTTGTAAAATAAGGGTACAATGTACATGTATACATTGGTTGTTTTCATATTGCTTTTATTTTATACATTGGTTGTTTTCATATTGCTTTTATTTTTTAGACATTTAAATTGGAAATCGAACCAAATTCCAATCTCAACTTGTTATTGATTATGTTTTTTTTTAAAAAAAAAATTTAGTAAAAATTATTAAAGGTGATGTTGTCCTCGTCATCATCCTTACCTTATTCCAATATATATATATATATGAGGTCGTTGACACGATTTTTTCGGTATCTATTTCTTACTATTGCATGTCATCACACATTCACACCTATCATGTTTAACTTTTTTTATTCATTTCTAATAACTTCATCATGTGTTAATTTTGATCTTCAATCCGTCTCTTACCCTTTATGAAAATTAAACTTGAAAATTAAACGTCCTAATGTCACTGGTGCATTTATAAGTCTCCAATATATGTGCCTAAACCATCTAAGTCTACTCTTTATTATTTTCTAATTGATGGGTACCGTACCTAATTTTTCTCCTATGCTTCCATTTCTAACTCTATCTCTTCTTGACACTCCAACAATCCATCTTAGCATTTTTATTTCCGCCATGTGCAGTGCAGGGCCAGCCCTAGCGCAAGGCGACCAAGACAATCGCCCAGGGCCTCAAATTTGGAAGTGCCTTAAATTTAGGATCATAGCCTAAATATAGTAGTATATGTCTCACATTCAAGCCATAATTTTCATAATTAAAAGATAATACATACTTATATATCATGTAAATTTATGGCAATAAATAACTTTCAAAAAAAAAATATGGTAATGAATACATGTATTTATAATATCAATTTATATATGTTATACAATAATTTGTAATGGCAACATTAATTTGTGTCTATCCCCTCCCATCAAAAGAAAAAAAAAAATTATATTTAAACTCTGATTTATTTTATTATTATATTAATTTTGGGCTCATGTGCGTGTATGGCAGGCTCCATTAAGCCCAAGTCCAAACAACCAAATTTTTAATTCATTGGTGCAATCAACCGTCACATTTTTCAAAAGAACATTGTAAGATTTCCTAAAATGAGACATGGTTTCTCATATTGATGAGATAGAATTATTATGAGAGGTATAAGTCTTAAGAGAAACTTTACTAAGAGGAACAAAAAAGGCAATTGAATTATTTGATTTTATAAAAAGGTTGAGTTATTATTTTTCAAATGCTTGAATTGCATATATAATATTATTGAATATCTCAATTACAGTTGCAGATGCTTAAAAAAGTTTTTCAAATTTTACCCATGTTCGATGGTCATAAGAGAGATTGAATGGAGTTATTATAATATTTATTAAAAAAATATAGGGTAAAGTACATTGACACCCCCCGAGGTTTGGGGAAAGGACAAGCAGAGGAAAGTTAGCATGTTTTTGGACAATGACACCCCTTCAAGTTTGAAAAATGGACAAAGAGACCCTGAAGATGGTGAATTGACCTTATTACCCTTTCAAATAAAATTAACATTTTAATTGACTTAAATACCCTTTGATTAAACCCAAACCCGAAACCAAACCCGAACCCGAACCCACCTGCGTATATTATACAGTTCACCAGAGGATAGAGAAGGGAGATCAGATGGATGGTGGTTGTGGCCGCGGTGGTGGGTGTAGAGAGAGGGGGAAGAGAGGGGCGGCCATAGTTAAAGAGATGAGGTGAAGAGGAGAGAGAGGAAGAAGCATCGGCAATGACTGTGACAGTGGCGGCGGCGGCGGCGATGACTGTGACAGTGGCGGCGAAACCCAGAAGCATCGGCGAAACCCTGAAATTGCTGGCGAGGACCAAGCTCCGATGACGATGCGGCCACGGACTGAATAGTGTGGCGAAGTTTAGAAACCGAGCAACAAGAGATCGACGAGCAAAAACAATCCAGCGAGGACCAAGCTCCGATGACGACAAGGTTCAGATAAGCACAGTCCGGCGACCGTCACCTGCAAGGCCGAGGAGGCTGAAGTGGGCATCGCTTCTGCCGTCCGTTTTGAGTCCAATTAGAGCCCTTTTCCGTGCGAAGGTGAGAATTGGGGATGGTGATGTGCACAGATGAGGGGGTGATATATGTGTGTATGTGTGTGTGTGTGTATGAGAGAGGGGAAGAGGGTGGTGGTGGCGGCGGCACCGATCCCATCCTCAAATCTTCCCTGCAGGCTCAAACATCAACTCTCTACCGCTGTTAAGAATGAAAGACGCCGGCGTGGGGAACGTCTCTGTCAATCCCGGTCAAACCCGGCTTGTCCAAGGCCGAGTTCGCCGCCTGAACCGAGGCTGAGCTCCGGCGAGGTCGAGGAGGTGGCAGTGGCAGAGCTCCTTTTTGGCGTCTTCTTTAGTGGGTGGTGATTATGGAGGTTGGGGGTTGGTGGAAATTGGGGGCAGTGGTGACTGGTTGTTGGTGTGTGTGTGTGTGTGTGTGTATGTGTGTATATATATATATAAGTATATATGAAAAGGGTATTTTGGCCATTTAAGTTTTAAATATTTTACAATTAAAATTAATAAAATAGTGAAGGGTAAAATGGACTTTTCACTTGATTTAAGGCTCTGTTTGGAGGGCAAATTTCACAAGGGGGTGTGTTTGTCCAAAAACAAGCCAACTTTCATCTGTCTGTCCTTTCCTCAAACCTCAGGGGGTCTCTTTGTACTTTACCCTAAAATATATGTTGGAAAAACTTAATTGGAGCACTTTAATTAATAATTTTGCAGCTCAAAATGCAAGACGATCACATTTACTTTGCTATGAAGTTGAATTTTGATTTTTGTGATTAAGTTGTGTTGAATATTTCTTTTAAATTTTTTTGATGTAAACTGGATCGTGCTCTTTATAAATCATCAAGGAGTTTTGTTTTGTGTGTTTTTAACATTAATATATTTTATGTGTTTATCGTTTCATTTTAATGAAAATTTCGCACACTTATAAATGTTTTGCACGTGTGAAACCTTATAAATGACCTCACATTTGAATGTTCCCAATGAGATTTAAGCTCGAGCTTTAGGGCCAAAGCTCGAGCTTTTTGTCTATTTTTCTTCACAGAGCACTAGGATGCAATGCTCGACCACGAAAGGGTTGTGCTCGAGCTTTGAAGTTTAAATTTCATCAAACTTCCCAGTTGACTCAAAAGGCCCCAGAACATCTCTTTAAGCATCGGGAACACTATTCCAAGCATCAAAACCATGAATTTGTCCATATCTTCTGGCAACGACCTACAAATAGCAAACAAAAAAAATGAACATAAGAACCGAAATAAAATCATTACTAAGGCATTAACATATGAACGTTTAAGGGCTCGAATATGAAATATTCAGCGCTTATCAAAAATCACCAAATTATATTTCTTGGTACCTTATTATACATTTTTTTCTAAATTAAGAAAGAAAAAAAATCATGTGTAGATCTTTTTACTTACTCCTACATTATTTAATTAACTGTCTAAGAAACTAGATAGTTTTCATTGTTGATCTCCCCGGTATAAATCCGAATTGATTTTTGTTTCTCATAATTTCATTGTATGAATTTTAAATTTTATTCCTTTATAGTCGCTACAATTTTATATATTCCTTTTATTTTTATAAATTAGTATTGTCATACTTTTTTATTTTTTATCTTAACAACAAAGCAACAGAAACTAAAGAGTAACATAACAGTCTCCCTTAATGGCTACAAACGACAATGAATGCTACATTGACCAATCCAAATCACAATATTTACAATTCAAAGCCCATTTACTCAAATGGTGGACAACATGATTGATGTGTTAGAATTTATACTACTCACAATAGTACGAATCATTTGCAGGATAAAGCTATTCAGAAGGTGTGAATCTCAGGGATTATGATAGTTTATCAAGTTTTCAATTAATACTATTTTAATTTAGGAGAATGATTTGTTTGTTGTGTTGTGTGATTCAATAACATAAACAAACTTAAACTAATTAAAATGTTGAGATCAAAGGGAGAAAATCTTATGGATTGACTTCACCACGAACCTCATACTATAATCAAATTTTTGACATTGAGATTTCAACACTTATGTATAACATAAAATTAAACTCAATAACATTCGTTTAATTCAATTTAAAGAAAGATAATTTATGAATTTCAGTTAATGATAACCTATTTTCGGTTGATACAAATGATCTACCTACCTACTTCTAACGAATGTTGTAATATAATTTATCTTCCCTAGGGATAGACTATGAAAACATTTATTCACAAAAAACGTTTGAACACCATTGCATGATCTCTATTCTTATTGTCTGAGAAGCCCTTAGCCAATCTCATACAATAAGAATAGGTTGAATATAGTTTAAGAATAATTAAATCTACGATAAGGCATTAATTTCTCAAAAACTAATTTATTTCATTAAAATCCCAATTGCTTAGAACATCTAAGTCAATTGTTCAAAATCATGCAATCAAAATACATAAACAGTTAAAATCCCAAAATATTGAACAATCAAACCATAATAATCGGATTCGTATTACATCAATGCCCTAAGAGAGGATTTAGCTACTCATGACGATGGAAGATATCTTATGTGTTGTTGTAAACTTCATCATCGTGGATTGCACTTCTCTTATGAGGATCTTCACTTTCAGTGCTTCAGAGAAAACCAGAAACCCTAAAAGCAGCTACTAGATCTTAGACTAAAACAAGAGAGAAGAAGGAGAGCAAAAGGGTTTTTTTTTTCTGTGGCCTTGTGCATTATTTTATAGAAACAACTGAATTCTATCAAGGATTGGATGGGCTTTAGGTCTTCTGGGGTCATTTAGGCCCGTCTGGGACTTATTAGGACTTAATTAAAATTAATCCTACAATTAAGAAGTCTGACTAAAGGGAAAAGGCTCGAGTAGAGAAACTTCTGCTCGAGCTTTTTAGCTGGTGCTCGAGCCTTTTGGGAAATGCTCGAGGAGGAATTCTATACTTAGTTATTTTTCTTCACTTTATTTCTGAAGCGTCTTTTTCATTAACACTTAGAATATTTTGAGACTTTTTCTTTAGGGTGCTCCATCTTGGCTTGAGTGCTCAAGCCTTTTGCATTATACTCGAGCCTTTTGGATGGTACTCGAGCATTTTGCATTCTGCTCTAGCTCTGGCAACATGGAACTTCCAAAATGTCTTTTCATCTTCCGAGGGAGTTTATGTTCGGGCCCTTTTGCAAAGGCTCGATCACCTTGGAATTATGCTCGAGCAAAAAAATCTCTGCTTGAGCCTTTTTGCCTTTCTTGCTTTATTGAACTTTGTGCTCGAGCTTTTGCACTTAAACTTCTTCAAAATAACCATTTTGCCTTCTAGTTTGTTTCATATGATTGGGGACAACTCCGTAAACTTCGATATCAGTCTTTAAGTTTCCAGAATTCCGATTTTATCATTTTCTTTGGGAAAGTACCTACAAAAGCAAATAAACTAAAATCAATCTAAAACTGGATAGAACTATCGCTTAAGGTTTTAACATACGCACGTTTAGGGGCTCGAATATGCAATATTCAGCGCTCATCAATGATTACATATTCTATAAGCCTAAAATAGTGAGAAGTTATAGGGGTGTCAATATTTAATATGACATGTTAATATGATTCGAATGTGACATGAGATAAATGGATTCGGGTTTGACTTAATTGTATTCGGGTCATAATTGTATCGACCCAAATTAACACGGTAAATAATCATGTCGTGTTTGTGTTTGACCTGCCAACTTATTTAACTAAATGTATTAAATAAACCTCTGTCGTGTTTGCGTTAGAAGTGACCTTTTTAACTAAACATGTGTTGTCGTGTTATTTCGTGTTGTGTTAAGTCTTTATCCATTTACTAAACGAGTTACACGTGTCGTGTCATATTAATCGTATAATAATTGTGTCGTGTTCGTATTGACCCCTTATATAACATGATACTCATGTCCTGACACGACGCGAACACAATCCGTTAATAAGAATTGACACCCTTATTAACTGAGTTGCAATCCCCTTCAACGATGACATCATGATTTCTCAATTGATCAAAACTTTGAACCATTCTCTGAAAGCCAAGCTTCTGCAACTTCGGCATTAGAAACATTAGAGAAGAAAAGAGAGGCAAATTTGATAGGGTTACCCTTATAATCTCTTAAAATCAAATCCCCTACAACTTCTTTTCTTATCTTATTAAAAGAAGCATTCACGTTCAATTTTACAAAACCTTCCCATGGAGGAAACCGATAGAGGGGATGAGGAGGATCGACTAACGAAGTAATAATATGTTGATTCGAGAATGAACTACCAAAACCCATTGAAATTCAAAAAAGCTTTATCCACAATCAACTGGGGATCCCATTTTGAAGCATTAAAGCACCATTCGTTTCTACCTTTCAGATGAATTACAAAATGCACGAACACAAGTTGATGTGCTCTGAAACTTTCTCTATACCTTAAAAATGAAAGTGAGCCAAATCTCAAAATGCATCCAAGAATTATAATTATAAGAACTTAAATCAAACCTGAATAGGCTAAACTTCCAAACCATCCTGGCTACAAGACAATAATAGAACATGCATACAAAGGATTCTCTTCCCAAATAACAAGTTTTACAAATTATGTCCTCTACAATTTTCAATCTTTTCATATTTAGTATCACCGAAAGTGTATTATGACTGCATTGCCATAGGAAAAAGGCCATTTAGAGTTTTATTTTTTATTTTTATTATTATTATTATTTTGGTATTGTTTATCGTTACAGTGTTTTTGCTACAATGCAAAAATATTAGGAAACATCAATTTGATATCAAATGCGAGATTATTCATCCAACAATAAAAATTACCAATTGTGTTTTAGTATTTTGTTTTGCTACAATACACCACCTATATCACAAAACACGAAACAAAAATATTTGCCAAACAAGCCATAAGACTATTCAATTTCAAGCAACCCATATTTCAATTCATTAGTTATAACATCATTTGGTAAATCTCATATAATATGTAATAGTTGTGCATAAACAGTTTACTACTTTAGCATAATCACGTAATATTAATCGATTGATATGATCAAAACTAAAAAAATAAGAAGTACAAACAAAGAACAAAAAATTATCGTATTGTTAAACTTTTCCAACTGACTCATTTTTTTGGACACAATTTATGAGGTCGCATTTGGTTTAATGTATGATTTTTTTTTTCCCGACAAATAATTTTCATAATATTCTCGATAAAAATATGAAATTTTCACATTTTGTTTTAAAAGAAGAGGAGATATTTGTACATTATATATATGTTGATCGATTTTAACATTTGGAACATATATATATATATATATATATATATATCTTAATTTATTTATTTACTTATTTTTTTAATCCTGACAAACTAGGGGGAGGGGGCACTCGAACATGAGCACACCTGCTCGGGAAGCTAGACGCTCTACCAACTAAGCCACTAAGTAATGCTTGAATCATATATCTTGAATTTAGAGATGGCAAAATGGTTCATGAGCAGGGGTGGAGCCAATTAAGGTCCAAAGGGGGCACCTCCCCCCTTGCCCTTGCTTCAACCTGCTATATATATATATATATATATATATTTGATAAGTATACATATGTATATATTTTTGCTATATACATATATTTATATGGTAATTTTAAATAATGCCCCCCTAAAATTTTCAAATTCCTCAAATTTCCTTTTGAAAAAAAGAAGAAGTTACATATATCCCCCTTCTTCAAGTATGCCATGTATTTTCCTTTTTTTAATTTTTGTTTCCTTTTTTTAAAATTTTTATTTTTTCACTTATGTATAATTATGTATTGTTCCATTTTTTTCCACTTATTTCTTTTTACTGATAACATTTGTGATTGTATTTAATTAAAATATTATTAATCAATATTTTCATTTTATATTTGTATGTATATATTTTTATAGTACTTATTTAGCATATTATTTTATAACTATTTTTTTTCTTGTTTGCCTTTTGATTTAAAAAAATGATATTTGTCGTATTTGTTGATTTTTTTTTTTTAAAGTATATTGTGCCCCCTTTGAAATAAAATCCTGACTCCGCCCCTGTTCATGAGCCACCAACCTACCCATATATGTCCACTTTAAAATGGATTTGTGTGAACCATTTTAAAATATTGATTAAAATGGGTGACTAATATTCAACCCATTTTTATAGAAGGTAACAGGATGAATAACCATATTCAACCTATATTTCACCCATTATATTTTACCTGCATGCATGTCTAGTTATAAATTTAAAGAATTTTTAAAATAAATTGAAGAATTTATGTTCTCGATACATATTTTTACAAGCTTTTATTCTTATAAAATAAAATATATATATAATGATGAAATTAGTAACAATTTTGTCCCTAAAATGGGCCTGTGGGTCATTACGGGTTTACCCAGTCCATTTTACCCAACCCATATTCAACATGTTAGGACCACAACTCGTATTATTTGAAATAGACAAGACTTGCATACTTATCGATGAGTATATCATCCCTATTAATAGTTGATGTGATCCAATTACAAATATATAAATAATTCGTAATTATAAAATTAAAAAACTGATAAATAAGAACAATAATTCGTTTTTTTGAAAAAATAAATCCAATGACCTTAATTATTTTAGACTAATTTATGTACTTGTGATTAGACCGACGACGCGGAGTAGGTAAGTCTTATCCCAAATGTAATTTGTATTCCTAAGTCATAATTCTAATGTACTCTTATCTGAAAGCACGTTCATAAAACTAGTTATTCTCTTATTGCCACTCAAGTTGGACCGTCTAGCCATACATCCGAACACTACATTATGTCAACCGACTCAGGCTTCAATTTTATAGTTATGGGTCAAACTACCAATTCAATTTCAAAGGGCCAAGTGAAGCTATTAGCTATCATGTCTATGTGTAATTATATAAAATATTTAGGGTCATAAGTGAAGTCGGTTATCATAAATAAAAACATTTCAAGTCCTGCCCAACAATAATGATATTCACAAACACTCTTTTTGCAACATATTACCACTGTATATACTTATACTGCGTCTCAAAACCCTAGCCGCGACCACATCGACCATTCGATCTTCTTCGGCTCAGGGTCAGAGTTTCTGATTATCATCTTCAACAATGGTGAGTTCTTCTACTTTTCCATGACACCCTGTTTCTCTCTCTATAAGCACACACGCATATGTATATGTTTATATCGTTTTCTCTAACTATTTTTCATTCTGGTAGGCCGATGTTGAGACCGATGTGGCGGCAGGAGTGCCGAAGAAGAGGACGTTCAAGAAGTTCAGCTTCAGGGGCGTTGATCTTGATGCTCTGCTCGACATGTCCACCGATGAGCTTGTCAAACTCTTCAGCGCTCGAGCTCGCAGAAGGTAACCTAATAATATAATCACATCGAATTCTTATTTACAAATGTGTGTGTATATATATATATATGTATATATATATCTACATCTAACACGAATGGCCATTGAAGTTAATTAGATCTAGGATTCTGGGCGCATACACACATATATCTGTGACAGGAATACACATTGTGTTCTGAGCATGAATTAGCTTTCGTTAATTTTTGTTGACACAATGATAGGTTCCAGAGAGGTCTGAAGAGAAAGCCAATGGCCTTGATCAAGAAGCTGCGCAAGGCGGTAAGTATTTTGAATGATTACTTTCATGGTCTTACGTTTGGATTTGATTTGTGATTAGTTCATGCTGGTTTAGGATAGACGTTGTGTTTTTAAATTTTGCGATTATGGCTTGATGTGTTTGTGTATTTTATGATTTGGGCTTGTTATTGATGGTTGTTACATGTAGCTGTTTTGCAGGAAGTTTTAGTCTGGACGTTCATTGTTAAATATTTGTTCATATCTGGGAGCATGAGAATATTGATAAGAATTATCGACATATACATAGTTTACCTGTGTTGATCGGAAAAGTTTGTATTATCAACATATACATAGTCTACCTGTGTTGATCGGAAAAAGTTTGTTATAGAATTTGGCGGTAATAACATTACATTAAAACAATGTATCAATGCTATTTAATTAGCCGCACACTAAAATGTTGCTTTTAGCACTGTTTTCTGAATCATAATTTAAGTGCTGAAAGTAGATTATTTACAATTAAAAAAGGATGGTCATAAGTACCTAAAGACTTCTTAAAAGTTCAGAAAATGTAGATTGTCAGGCTTCTGTAGATAAAACAAACATTAACAATTGATGCACTTTGCTTTTGTTCGGAAAATGAATGTCTTATCTTTTAGGCATTGTTTGATAACCCATTTTAGTGCTTAATTCTGAATAGATTAAGCACTTATTTAATTAAAGTTAGGATGATTATTTTGGAGTGATGATACAGACTCCGGAGATGTTTTTGCTTGTACTTTCTCTATTTTTTCTTCTGCTTTATGGTACTATAGGAAAGTTCTCCTTGTTTTTTACTTTTGTCTCCTGATAAAACATTGTTATTTTTTCTATATATGGATTAGATCTTTCAGCAGCTTTGCTCTTAATTGAAGCTAAAGATTCTCTTTTATTTTGAATGTAGAACTGAAGCTTATATTTATCATGAAATGGAAGTCTCTGGCATCTGTTAGTGTATCATTATTCTTCTATGCTAGGATGAATGCAGGGAATAATTATAAGAAACGAACTGCTTCTTCATTTATTTAGTGGTGAGGATTGTGTATGAGTGTTAAGGATAAACGCTAGCCCATGATGATATGAGATGCCTTTCACCAATATCTGAGAATGTACACTCAGTGAATTTGATGAGATGCACTATTGAAAGTTGACATGCCTATCATGTGGCTTATTTAGAAGGCTTTTGAGATTTACATATGATATTTTCTAATCAGTTGACTAGGATATACAATCTCAAACTGATATATTGTGGTTTTATATGTGCTCTTTGATTTGATTTGATTTCATTTCATGAACAGATGATGCATCAATTAACCATAATCATACTATTTCGCTTGTGTTAAAGTGATGTTATTAGCATTTTAAAACGGCAGGTGATATTTAAGACAGTTTTAAGATATTATAGAGTTGCAGCTCTAGCAGTGTGATTTTTTATTTTTGTATTTGTAAATATGAGAGTATTTTGAAAATTGATTTCTTAAAATTATGTTCAAATAATGCGTAGTTTTGGAGAACATTGTTTTGTAGTTGTCTGAGAAATGTTCTGTTCTCTGAATTTTTAGAAAATGCTTTTAGGGGATTGTACCAAACTGTCCAAACTGGTTTTTGAAAGGCTTGCATATCTGAAATCATTGTAGTTTTTGCAGTTTTTGCTGTCCAAACAGATGGTTGTGAACAATTTTGCAGTTTTTGCTGTTCATTTTGTATTTGCTGATGTGATTCACTGTGTTTTTGTTGCAAATGTGATCTAATACATGTAGTTTTTCATTCTCTGGCTGTGACAACTTAATTATTTTTTTGGCTAATCATATATTATCTTTGATGTTTAGAACATATGTAGTGATATTTTTTCCTTTTGGTTTTTCATAAAGAATTATGCATGTAATTTACAATCTGTTCTGGCTTTTATTATTATTGTTTGGACTGTGGAGCTCATCTTTTGGTTGGAGAGACTTTTGACTGTTGTAATTCGTAAAAGTTGATTCTTCTACTTTACCCTTTGAGATGCGTGCATTTGTTGCTGAAATTAAAAAAACTCAAAAAGCTGTCCGGTGTCTCACTATCTTATATGCCATGCCGTTCCTTTATTCATAATAACCAAACAACAATACTCCATAATAAGTAATAACCAAACAACAATACTCCCTCAAAATTTAACTATATCAACCCAAACAATTATCTATAAATTGTTGTTTGGTTATTACTTATTATGGAGTATTGTTGTTTGGTTATTATCCGTATATCTAAGAAGAAAAACTAAAAAACTAATAACAATAATAGGAAAGAAAGGGAACTATACTTGAAGTTGCTGTCATGGTTTTATATGTTTGTATTGTGGGATATAAAGTGTTTTCATTGTAAGGTGCAAGTGCTCCATATGGATTGCTCCCACCGATGAAACCCTAGAGAAGTACTGCATTTTGCATTGAAACTTGTCTGTGGAAAGTGAAAATATCTATTGTGGTTTTATTGTAGTTGTTTAATAGATTCTTAATAAGCAATCAATTGGAGCATCAGTCAGCCAACCATCTTGCAGATCCCATTGGGTTATATTACTTCTATCGTCCATTACAGTGGCTTAGAATTCTTTTGCAAGCATCTGTTTGGTTTTGATTTTTATGTTTGCTGCTTCTATCTCTACTTCTTTCAGTTTATACTTGTCCTGTAGTACCTTGTCTGACCTTCACTTTTCTTTTAAGATATTATGATATTGTTCCTAGAGTAATTCATGCTGAATAAATTTTGTGATGTTATGTTCAAGAAACGGGAGGCCCCTCCTGGCGAGAAGCCTGAACCTGTCAAAACTCACCTCCGCAATATGATCATAGTGCCTGAGATGATCGGAAGCATCATTGGGGTGTACAATGGCAAGACCTTCAATCAGGTTGAGATCAAGCCTGAAATGATTGGCCATTATCTTGCTGAGTTCTCGATTTCATACAAGCCAGTCAAGCATGGAAGACCTGGTATCGGTGCCACCCACTCATCGAGGTTCATTCCTCTTAAGTGAAAATTCTCCTTGCAGCTTAGATATATGGTGATCACATTTTACTTTGAGGGACATCTATGTTTATCAGATACTTGTTAATCACTTTTGCTTGATTAGTAATTTTGGCGTGTCATTGAATTTTTAATTTAGATTATGGAAGTTCAAGCACTTTTTTAGTTTGAAGATCTGGTGACCCCGGAAACAATAATACGATTTTGATAGTTTTGGTGATTACCTTGACCTTAAAATGTTCTATTTCTGAATATCGTGCAGTGCATTTTCTGGAGTCTTTTTGGGTTGTCTTTAGTGCACGTTTGATCTTTCATTCCCTCCTTTTGATCTCGAGTGCTTTTGTATAACATTCTAGTGTTTATAAATTCGATCGAGTGCCTTTTTGTTTTCCTCTATTATTATTCGTGCACATTTGGGCATCGTAGAATGATACATCATCGGTTATTAACTGTTGCCTTGAGCCACTCGGCAACACCATCTGATGGCTATGTTTGTTACGAGGCAGTACTTTTATAAAAATAGCATTGTTGGCATACTGACTTCTGCAATTTTGTTGAAAGTAACGACTTTGTGCTTTCTATAGACTTTGAAATGCTGATTTTTCATCGAGATTTAGTTCCTGTTTTATTCAACATATTTTTCAGATTTTGTCTCGTGTAGTCCCAATGGGAAGAGAACTTAGAAACAGTCAATGTAACTTGCTCAGAATTTTTATGTACATGTTAGGACTCCGTGTGGATGGGTTCGAATCCCATCGTCCTGCTGTAAATATAGGGGCACCTTAAGCTTCTATGGCCGTCTTTTCCAATCTTGGCGGCATTTTAGATTCTAGCCCAATCTTTGTTGGAACCAAACTAAGATTAGAGCTTGAATGAAAGGACTAAGGGCTAGTTTGGTATGGAGGAATGAAATAAGGTAGGCATGGAATGAATCAGAGAAGGGAATGTGATGAGAATGGAATGATCATTTTTATTCTCTTGTTTGGTTTTGCATGACTTAAAAAGGAAAACTAATCTATTTATATGTAAACAAAATAAATAAATATATATATGCGTAAATATATATGGAAATTGAGGAGGGAATATTAAGAAAAAGTTGGCTTTTATTGGATCTCGCTGAGAAAAGTGTGTTAGCAATAAGTAAAGTCGTAGTGTTAGCAATAAGTAAAGTCGTAATTTTTTTAGAGGGGAATGAAATGCCTATTTTTTTTGTTGAAAAGTGGAATGATTTTGATGGAATGATTATTTTTAAAAAATAGTGAAGAATAGACATTTCATTTTTAAAATTACTTTCCAAACAAAATAATGGAATTAAAAACATTCCATTTCACTTTATTTCATTTCTTTCTCACCCACCAAACTAGCCCTAAAGGTTGTAAATAGTACAAAGCACACAAGGATGCACTAATGCACGTGGTTTGACATAAGACTGAAATCTTAAACGTAATTGATCTATGTATATTCGAGTCTAATCATGAGAGAACCAATTTAATGGGAAAAAATACCGAGTACATCAATGTTTGATCGTCATTGTGTAGTGACGATATATATTGGTTGATATTTAAATCTTAGTTCTTCTGAACATTTATTTTTTATCTGTATTCATTTCATATTTTTACTGTCATTATGTTCATGAGCCCCCAAATTAGACTAATTTCTTGTTTGGTCAATGGCTTTTCTTCTAAATGAGTGGTCTTTGAAAGGTCTCTTTCTACTATTCTACCATCCGCAGCATGTTTACTCAAGTGGTATTTCAAATATTTCGCTTGTGCTGTATTGTAGTTCTAGTTGACAATGACTCTTGCGTCCATTAAACCAATAACTTAAAAAAATTACTAATTATAGGTAACATAATAAGATTATATTCTCAAGAAAGATGAATGTATATAATTTTCTAATTTGGCGAGTACAAAAGTAGCCCAAGTGACACCTTCCAAGTTGGTTCTCTTTGCTTGCAATTTACAATGTACAACGACCAGTCAAAACTGGCGTTAAAGCAGCTAAGCTAAATTGGATTGTCATGTGGTGTTGATTTATTTTGGGCTTAGGATATTGAAATTCTATTGACTTCCTATACTTTATTCAACTTTCTTTAATCTTGTAGGAAATGGAAACGAAATTTCTTTTCAACAGCATGTAGTGCTCCATGCACTGCCTTCTCTATTTCCCCAGCTCCAACCTACCAAATGGTTGAAAAAACAAAAAACCCAAATATAAGCAAGTGCATAAAAATGCATCCTTATTTATGGATTACCTTCCAAAAAAAAAAAAAGTAATATAATGACAATCTTATGACAAAGGCCAAACCATAGACGCCATACAAAGAAAAAAGTCAAGTTAGAAAAGATATACAAATCTTGAAACAAAGCAATAAAATAAAGAGCATATTCCAGATTTGTGAAAAAAATAGAGTCCAAAACTCTGCAATGGAACCACCATAGGAGAAACGCAGCAAAGAAGAGTGACCTAAAGGTAATAGCTCCAAAGTTACAATCACAAAGTGTTCCGACACCCAAAACTCCGCACAAGATCAAATCACGGAAAAAAAGATTAAATCTAGGTGAGACAAAACTAAAACCGACCTAGATTGGAGATCTAGTCGGAGAAAAACAACAGATTCGCTCATGTGAGTCGAAAACGAATCAAACATGAGCAGATTTAATCGAATAAAAATACAAACAGCATAAAAAAATCCAACAGAACGCATTTCATTTATTGAAATACGTTGAATTTATTATAGTCCTGAGAGACAGCTAACAGATCTCCACTCCCATGAAAAGGAGAAACAGAGTGAATAAGACAAAGGCTCGGTAGAGAGAGACTGTTAGAGAGTGGTGAGCATTTTTTCAGCACCGACACTATAAAGTTAAACGAATTCTCGAAAAAAAAAAAAAAAAAACTAAAAAAAAAAAAAACAAAAGTTAAACGTATTCCCTAACAAAACTCCAGTAAGAAACGTGACAAGTGGGTTGATTTAAACAGGATATTGTAAGATAAATGAGTTTTAATAACGATAATCATGTTAATCTGAATTGAAACGCTAATTGTCATAATGTCAAAATTTTTAACATGAATAATAATCGTGCACTTAAAGGTGCATTTTGCCAATTTGGTTACGAAAGAAGCAATTTTTAATAGAAGTAGAAACTGGTGAAGAGAGAGAAAAAATCCTCACCTGGGATTGGACATTCAATACTGCTGAAAATTCATGAGGTGAAAATACTGATTGGATGGCTCTGGTTTTGGACCCCATACTCTTCAAGCATTTCAAAACCTCCACCATAGAATCAATGCCAGATGAAGGATTAGGCACTTTTAATCTTATCTTCTCTCCCCTTACACTCTCTGTTGTTGCCAAGATCCCTTCAAGCTCTTCTTTTCTCCTCTCCAACTCTTCTTTATATCTCTGCAGATCTTCAACTTCTTTGGCCGCCGTCTGAACTATTGACTTTTTATCATTCTACAATCATAACCACAAAAAAAAATTCAATAAACATATTTTCATAAATATATCAAAAGCAATGCATACACGAGTTCAAAACATGAAACAGTCTCGGAGATTAGATTGTGTCTACGGAGATAAGATTGTGAGCCTTGTGTTTGTGTGTGTGAATACTGACCTTGGTTCCGGGAGGCAAAACGGAATGCAAGGCCAAGTAACTCTGTTTTTGCTTCTCCCTCCTCATCCTCTCATTAATCATGTGCCGACAACTCCGCTCTGTATCGTGTTCTTTACCTTTGATCAACGGAGTCCGACTCCTCCTGATCAAGAGATCGATCATTCTCTTGATTAAATTTCGATTATTCAATCCAGTACTCATACTCTTTGCAGCAATGGGTCGGTCTGTGTACCGGACGAAAGCACTTCGATTCGCCGGAAAAGCTGCCTCCATCCAGAAAATCTCATCTTGGGTGTCATATTTGAAAAATTGATCCATAATTTTCTCTGTGAGTGTGTTGTTTTGTGTGTGTAGATTTCAAATTTCGGTTCAAAGGGCTTATATAACGGTCATTTGGGAATGAAGGTATGCAAAATATGGCATAAAGAGTCACATTAAACACGTGTTCAATTAAGTGGTTTTACTTAGTCCAAGCGAGGAGGTTTTCTTTGTTGGTCAAGATGTGGATGTATTATAACTCCCATTTCCAGATTATATCGTATTTTTATGCGTTAAGGTTTGAAGTCGCTGTCTCCCTCCTATAATTGTTGACTATTCTCACTTAAACCGATCGAGTCGTGTCTATTCTGTGTCTGCAATGACGGCTAAGATTGGTATTGGGCCTCCCCTTTAAGGCTTGTCATCACTGGGTTTGTATCAAGGCTTTGGGCCTGGCCTTATGGAAGGCTAGCTTGATATAGTTTTTCTTCTTGTGGGTGTACTACCTGAGATTGGTATTGGGCCTCCCCTTTAAGGCTTGTCATCACTGGGTTTGTATCAAGGCTTTGGGCCTGGCCTTATGGAGGGCTAGCTTGATATAGTTTTTCTTCTTGTGGGTGTACTACCTGAGAAATAGGGCTTGAAATGAATTGACTTATTTGTGAAAATGTAGAATTAATAGGGTATATTTTGCGATTCAATTCAAAAGCTTAATTTATTATATTGGGTTAAGACTGAGTTCATATATACTCATTTTACTTTTTATTTGAATTCGAGGTTGGACAAGTCTCCTCTTATAACCACTTGACTTTTCTCTTTTATCCGCACCAAACAAAAAACATAAGTAGGGACGGAGCCACTTCAAAGTCAGTGGGGCAATTTACTATTATATATCACTAATTTTTTTTAATTTCAATTATATGCCTATAAAATTTTCACTTTATCCCACTAAAATTACAAAAAAAAAAATACTCTAAATTTATTTTTGTAATGAACCATGTGTCTACTACTTCCAGAAATTTCTAGATTCGTCTTGGACATAATGAACCATGTGTCTACTACTTCCCACACTCTAGAGTACAACATTGGAGGAGTAATCTTAAGCTCACTAGTTCTTAATTTAGGAGGACAAACTCAATTTAAGATCACATATTAAATATTGCGTGGAACTTTCAAACATAACATTCATGATTCATCCATATGTTTTATGTATATGTAATCTAATGTATAAAATTAGTGTAAACGTTGAAAGCTGGTTAATTCACAGCATAAAATTGAATTATAAATTAATTTTTCTTTAATTTCAAAAGATGAATTACATACGGAGTAATTTCAAGTGGAATCTTACCCTATCAGTTCATTTTATCTCTCCATAGACTCGTACGCGCGATAATATACACGCGCGCAGACGCACACCACGAGTTTGGGCGATGATAAAGAGAGAGACAGACAGTGGGTGTACGAGTGACCCAACTCGGGGAAGCATCTGAAAAAGCTGAAACGGGTATTCGTCGCCGTAGCGCTCTACCTCCCGGACGAATCGTCTTCTGACCAGGTTTGGTTTTCCATCAAACCCATATGATTATCTTCTATGTAATTTATATTGTTTACATGTCAATGCACATTGTTACTATAATACTTTTAAGCCTGTAATGGTTTGAAGCACTGAAATTATCTACTCTCCTTCGTTTCGTTTCTTGTATCTGGATTTTTAGGTTTTTATTTTTTTTGATTGAGGAAATGTTCTTCTGTTTTGAGTGTGGATTTGGGTTTTGATTGATTGATCAGCAGGGTCGAACGAGAGAAAGAAGGACGATAGCTCGTCTGACCAAACCCTATCGCCAGAACCCTTCAGGTGGGTTTTGTGCTAGACTTCTCTCTCCTCTTCTTCTTCTCCATCACAAACCCTAGTATCCTGAACAACCCTAGTTTTTTTTTTTTTTTTTTTTTCGTCCTTTCCGTCACAAAAATAACTCCGCCCAGTAGATTCTCCCCCCCCCCCCCCCCCCCCCCCCTCTCTCTCTCTCTCACACACACACACACACACTGTTTTCTTTCTCCTGGTAACTTTCTTCAACCTTTCCCCTTTAACTATTTTTTATCTGTCTCTCACAGAGGCACAGTTGTCCTTTTATTTATTTATTTTTTATATTTCCTGCTGTTTCCTCTTACTCCTCTTTTCCCCTCTTATGTGTTCCCCATCTCGGTTTTTTTTCCATGCAAAGTTGTGAATTCTATTTGGCTGTGGTTTTTAATAAGTAGGTGCTACCATGACACTGTAATTTGTAGCTTATTACACGGGACAGTTTTTTGGGAAAAACTATAGAACTTGTCTGCTATTATTATTAATTTAGTTGAGGCTTTGTAATAAGCATGTGACAAAAAGGAATTTGTTTGCGGACTTTACAATAAATGTGCTGCAAAAAGAGTTGGTGTTTTCTTTATCTCTTTGTATGGGTAATTTTCCAATTGCTAAATATTTAATATTTTCATGATAACTTGTGATGTGTGAAATTCTGGATTATTGGTATGATAATTTATGCCATGTTCTTGACTCACTGACTCTTATATATGTAAATATTGTAGTTAATATTATATATTTGAAACTTTAAATATTCTATTGGGACTGAAAATAGAATTTTTTTGAGAAATAAAGTGATTAGAATGGTTAAGGCTAAATTGTAGTTAATATTATATATTTGAAACTTTAAATATTCTATTGGGACTGAAAATAGAATTTTTTTTGAGAAAATAAAGTGATTAGAATGGTTAAGGCTAAAAGTCCCTTTTGATAATTTTTGGGGGCATGTTTACAATTATTAAAAAGATCTATACAAGATTATAATAAACAAAAAGTTGAGTGGGGGCAGCTGCCCTCATCATGTATAAACTTAATAAAAATAGGAAAAAAAACATATTTGTTCTAAGAGTTTGAGGGTTCTCCTCCCCATATATGGGATAGGAAATTCTTCAAAAATTTTGATTTCACAGAACAAAAAGGCATGATTATAAACATACCTGTATAAGTAATCTACACTTGTAGTGCCTAAATATCAATCTGAAACCAAATAGCAACGTGATGACTATATGCTATATGACTTTTGTTAGTCATGTTTTAGTATGTGACTGTTCCTATTTGTATTTTCCTTTTTTTCTTTTCTAGTTTCTTGTATATTTGTTTTGGGTCTTGTAATGTTACCTTATTTATATGTGTATTTTGAGCATATTATTGCATATAATTAATGCGGACTGAAATTGAGCTATTGCCAATACTTCCAAAACATGTTCTTTGTGTTGCATGTTGTTCTAGTTTTATTTATCTTTGTGCTCCAACTTCGGTTGTTGTTGGGTCATTAGGAGAGTTTGAGATGTTTTAATACTAAATTTTTTGTAAAAGTGAAAGCTATCAAATGGGAGATGTAAAAGTATTCAAGAATTGAGTGAATTTAGGGCAAACTTTTTGTTGATGTTTGAGATGTTTTAATGCCATTAAGGGAGGTCATGAGAAGCACAACTGGTGCAAGTTCTGCTTGGTCAAATTGTTAAATTAATGATGTGTACTTCAGTAGTTCGATCAATCTGGGTTTCTAATGATCAGTCTTGGTTCCATGCTCTCATTATGACATATAATTTGAATCTACCATAACTATTAGCACTCCAACCTTATTAATGTATTAGATGAATAAATGGAAAATTTCTACCTACCTTTCTTGTGTTCTGATAAAATTTTACTTGGCCACCACATCTTCTGAAGCTGGCAAGGGACCACCCTTGCCATTGGTGTCAATTGGCAGAATCTTACTTGCGTTGTTAGTTGACTATGGTAACTGCATGAAATCACCGTAGTAGTTAGTGCCTCTACTTAAATAAATGATGTTTTAAACCATTCTTATACTTTGTATCCTCTTTCTTTACAACCACATACTCCGTTTCATCTTCTTCTCTCCTTGATTCTAATTTCACTTGGAGCTGTGTGACATGTGTTCTTGGTGTTCATGTTTGCTTTCATTTTCTCTTTTTGAAATTCATTTTTCCATTCCAAACTTTAAAAATCCACTCCTTTCTTTTGAACCACCCAGCATTATAAAGTTCGGGAGTTCTGGTTTCAATTCGAATTATTTTCATAACTCCTAGTATTTTTGAAGATGCAAGTGAAAACCCATGAAAGGTTGTTTTAAAAATTCATTTTCGATAAAACACTTGCAAGAACCTTGACACTTATTGTATTGAAGTTCACCATACAATGTTGGGAAGCTTTTTTTTTTTTCTCCCTGGACCAACTAGATATTATTGAAGAGTTTATTATTATTATTTTTTGAAAGGGCATGGAAACTGGGGTCAAAGTTTGGTCAACTTTTGGAATTTTGGTCATTTCACTGGGGTTCTATAAACATGTAGGTCTTACATTGTTTTACCAAACATTTGTTATTTGATTTAGATGCAGCGTGCTATTAATGATCCAGTTGATGTGGTCCTTAATACTGGAAAAAGAAAGAAGGGTGCAACTGAATAAAATCCTCCCTTGGGCGTGCTTTTGATGTGTTCTGCATCAAAATTCAGAGGGCCATATGTTTATTCATACACTAGGACGTCAAATTCTCTCTCTCTCTAAGGATGTCAATTTCACCACTTGAGCTTTTTTTAATTTTCTCAAACTGCTGTTCGAGAAATGTTATAGCTTGCAGGATTGCAGGTACGGCAATATACTGTAACTTTAGGGGAACAATCTAGCTGTATCAAAGTTTCTTTGTTAATATCTCACTTCAAGTATTACTTATCAAAAAAAAAACAAGATACCTCACTTCAAGTATTGGTTACTTTTTCTTACTAGATAATTGTTTGGCATGATTCTATATTGATATAATTTAACTCAGAAGTTTTTGAACTTCTCAAGTGTACTTCTGACAAAAACCTACTCTACTATCTCCAAGGCACCTGTCTCCATCACAACTACCTGTCTGCCTGTACTGCTGCTACCACCACTGCTAGCTTCATCATATTGCAAAATAGGTACCACTGCATTAGCCCCCAACATTAGGACCACCATCTTTGGCCTAGTGACATCAACAGCACCTACCTCTGCTTTGCCATGGCCATCATTATACTGTCAGCTGCACTCTCTCAATACTTGGTTCTGCCCCTCATCTTTCTTTTCATCAGCCCCCTTACCAGCTTGTCCTGTGCCTTGGCCTGTGATAATATTGGATATTTGCAAAGCATGTGCTTTTTGTGGGATGGGGAGGAAATCATGGGTTTTATATATTTTAAGTTATTTTACGTAGATTTGTACATTGGTAAGTTTTATGGGATTCAATTATGTCTATGAGATGTTTAGAACTTCAGATATAAAATGTAATGAAGATCTCAACTACTTTATCTGACACATGTGAATTTATGCGGAATTTTTTTGTTAATTTTCTTCTAGAGTTGTCTCTTTGATTTTGGGATTTAATTGTCTTAAACATTGAATAGGATTTTCATTAAGAGAACTGTGAACAGAAGGCTCTTTTCACCAGTGATTTTACTGCATCCGCTAATTGGTAAACTTTTTATAGGCAGGAAAAAGAAAAAGTGGATGAAGCAAACAATTTAGTAAACATAGTAGCTCCTTTAATTTTTTTTTCTATCATGTTATATCTGGCTAGTAAATTACATGTGTATATATTTGTATCTAGATTATATTGGTAATGTACATAACACATCTAATAATATCTACTTTGCTATTGTTAATTAATGCATAGGGGTATTCATATGGTAAAAGCTAAAAGTTCTTTTCATGCTTCTCTTATTGCTCCATTTAAAAATTTCTATTTTTTCAAAAAGTTTATTCATGTGTTTAACAGATGATTTGTTCAATGTATTTGTGTTTTTACATTTTGCATTATTTTTAGCATGATGATAATTTGATATATGGCTGATAAGCCTGATATTCATATAAGAATGCTTTGGTATCTCTCTCCAATATATTTCATTATGAATATCTTTCTTGTTCATCGCCAATTAATTAAAAGGTGGTAATTGACACGTAGAATGCCAGTTCTTTAATAGAAGAGGAATAGAAGTTCAGATTGGGTTTGATCAAAGTGTTTGTGATGGAAGAGTTGGATTTTTACTTGAATTTGCCTTCCATATTTTGACGGTTTCAAATGTTTATGTTTGTAAGCCAACTTTGTTGAGATATTTTTTGGCATGTCATATTGGGCATGTAATTCTTTTTGACTAGTTAAAAGGAAAAAAAAACAGTGCCAATTATTCTGTGCTGAAAAGTATCTCAAAGGGTCTCAATGCCTGGTGGTGTTAATAACTATATTTGCAAAACTTGGATTGTTATATGTTGCTTTCTTTTCTTTAGTAAAGCATTTGTCTAAAGAGATTTTACTTGTCAAATTATTATTATTTATCTTAATAGATATTAGGAGAGGTTGGATATGACTTGCATACTGTTTTATCATGACCATTGCATGATAGATTACTGAGCTTTGTTTTGGTCATCATGGCAGGTGAGAATTGAAAAGATGTTTCTGAAAGTGAGATTGTCATGGAATGTTGTAGTTCCTGCTGAATGCCTGGATGCTAAAGGGTTGATGCTTCAAAGATCAATCATTATCCGACTGATGGATGACTTTTCTGTCAAGAAGGCCACAAAAGATCTTGGTTATTTTCTCGCGGTAACAACATTGGAGAAAATTGGAGAAGGAAAGGTTAGACAACACACAGGGGATGTGCTCTTCCCTGTAGATTTCAGCGGCATCACGTTTAAGATTTACAGGGGAGAGATCTTAGAGGGAGTTGTCCACAAGATTCTGAAGCATGGGGCTTTCTTGAGATGTGGGCCTGTTGAGAACATGTATCTCTCTTACCAAAAGATGCCTGATTATCGTTATGTGCCCGGAGAAAATCCAATCTTCATGAATGACAAGATGTCCAAGATTGAGAAAGACGTGGTGGTGCGAGTCATTGTGATTGGCACAAAGTACGTAGAGGCTGAAAGGGAATTCCAGGCAGTTGTCAGCTTGGAGGGTGATTTCCTTGGACCTGTTTCATGATGAAGTTCCTACTCAAAGATTCGATCTTTTGATTGTCGTCATATTAGGAATGCGACCTGTTCCACATTTTGTCATGACTGGACTGGTCTTCTACCAATGGAAAGTTCTTTATTGTCTAATGTTATGGTGTAATTTCTGGATTAGGTGTGGTTTAACTGATTCTTAGTTGTAATGCGTTGGTTGCTTTTGGCATAGTTAGTCTGTTATGTAAGCATTGTTCTACTTATCTGGATTCCAACAGCAATGGAAATATCATGTTTTGTTTCATTGTTTAGCAATCAGCATGTATGATATTACTACTAGTGGATTGGCGCTCGGCATTACTGATTGCAGTTTTAGAAATATGGTATATGTAACAACAGGAGCAAGTGACTAATGCCATAATTTCCTCAACAAGTTGCTGATTCTCCCTTCTTGTATTTGCTTTCAGGGTGACTAATATATTGCATTTGTGGAATAAAATGATTGTTTTCATATTCAAATCCATGCCCCAAGTTTTTACCCTTTAATAGGTGAGAAATGTACCCAAATCGGTGACCTTTAACTTAGAATTGAAAGAAATTTAGTTAAAAATTTGAAATGAATTTTTTCCAATCTCAAATCACCGATTCAATGTTTTCAAACGTAACATAAAAGTTTAAAATAGTGTCTAACAGATCGAAAAGGAAGCTTAAGCAACTCTCCAAGAATTCTTGGAATACAAGAGGGTAGCGTTTACAACTGCAATAACTCAAAATTCTCCTTGGAGTATGAGAGAGCAGGGTTTACAAGTACAATAACTCAAAATACTAACGCTACTCCAAATTCAAAATAATACAGGTATATTTCGATCCAATAGATAAACAAGGTGTAGTCCTTTCCAGGTTAATGAACACTGCCACCCAAATGAGAAATTATAAGATGACCATTTAGGGAAATATATATATATATATATAATGGTCTCGGACCTTGTAATTTGGTCAATCACAAACTGTCACACAATTAAATGTATCTGTTTTATTCAGTTTGAAACTGTCACGTAATCAAATGTATCAATTTTATTCATTTTATTTATTTATTGCGTGACGATTTGTAGATGCATTTAATTAGGTTTCCAATTGTTAGAAATTTTTACCGATTATATTAGAAAAACTGAAAATACTTTTAGAGAAGAAGCCACTCTACTCCAATTATTCTTGTTCAACTTTTTAAAAGTGTCTTAATAATTCAAATTTTTATTTTTTTTCCGATAGAATTATGGAAAACAGTTATATGATCAGAAAATTAAAACATTTTTTTTTTTTTTTTTTTTTTTTTTTTTTTTTTTTTGTATAATTTTCTGATTTGCAGTTTTTAAGAATGCCCTTTTTCTCCAGCATCACAAGAAGGTTGAACTGAATGACCCAACAAGTCTAGAATGGACTGCGGGTCTCCACCCGAGATATTTATTGTAAGTCATACCAAATGGACCCAGTCTGACTATTCAATATCCACACCTATGAAAAATAGTACTACTCCCAATATATAGACCTGTTTGGTTGTCATAGAAGTCAACGGTTTACTCTTCAACCCCAAATCCGTTCACAGAGAGAGAGAGAGAGGAAACCAAAAAACCCTAATCCATTCGGTAACTTGAGAGATCTTCTTCTGTTCTCCAATGTCGTCAACACCACCAACTGGCTACACCACAATCCCACCGTCCACCTCACCCACATCCACCTCCACCGTCGACTTCATCTCTCGCACCACCCACATCCGCCAATCACTCGCTGCCGCTCTACGCCCATGGCGAGAACTCCTCCATCCCTCCGCCCTCAGCCTCCCCTTCTCCTTCTCCGAAGCTACCTACCGTCTTAGGATTAATCTCTACCAATTTCGCGTCAACTACACTATCATCGCTTTGCTCGTACTCTTCTTGAGTCTCTTGTATCACCCCATCTCTATGATTGTCTTCTTGATCACATTCGTTGGATGGATGTATCTCTACATCTTTCGCGACGAGCCTTTATTGGTTCTCAATCGAACGGTCGATGATCGGGTGGTTCTTGTTGGGATGTCTTTGGTTACCATCTTTGCCCTAATTCTGACTCATGTGTGGTTGAATGTCTTCGTTGCTGTTGCGATTGGGGCTTCGGTTGTTTGCCTTCATGCCGCGTTTAGGGCTATTGATGATATTGATGATCAAGAATCGCCGTACGGAGCGCTGTTTTCGGTTGTCGACAGTGCTGATGGAGAGTATAGCCCAGTTTGATTGAATCGCGGAGTGTTTCGGATGGTGAATTTGGGTCACATGAACTGAAAGGATGGTGAATTAGGTTTGTACGTGATTGTAGATTTGGGATAATTCTTGCATTCTTGCAGTTTTTTGTTATATACAATTGAATGTCTACAACATTTCAACATAATTGAATGTCTACAACATTTTAGCATCTATATTAGTATTGAAGTAATCAACTATGGTTTACCTTTCATTCATGACCATTTGGTTTTTTGACTTGATTTCTTTGTTTTCCATCTGATGTGGTTTGTATGAGAAATAGGAAGTTACTGAATTCTGGTCATTTATATGGTTGTAGATCTTGTTTGTGCACAAAGACACTGCTAATACCTAGCTGAAACAGAGAATACTGTTTGAATTGTATTTGGGAACTTGTGTATGGAAATCGGATAACCTATGAAAATTAAATCACTCTATAGTTTCTTAGCCGAACCTTAGGATGAGTCCACCAGGTTTTCTGGTGGCATTTAGATTTCATTTTTGTCATAATTGTTGGAAGGATGGGGTTTTAGGATTTCATGGAAAACTGTACTTCAATATTTTCACTAACTGTGAACAAAATAGAGGCGTTCCATTGCTGTGAATCGACCACGGGCCTGCAATCTAAGGTTTCTCTTGTGCTCTAGGTTGGAGGATTTAACCCCAACACTTTTGTTGCAGGTTTAGGCTACATTTGTTAGCTGTATCAGTGTTTGGGGGTGCTTTGTGATCCCATTAGGACAATCAAAATGGATTGATTATCTTGCATGTGCAGATAAACTCAGTACCATTGGGGGAACTGTGAATTGTGAGACACTAGGTAAGAGGAAAATCATGGATTAAACATGATTTAAATTACTTTTATGGGCTTTCTCCTACTTTCTCTCTTCTAAGGAAAGTCATGAAAAAGGGAAAATGAGCCAAGAATATGGCAAAGTACATAATTGTTATACAGAATATGTAGCAATACAGTTTCTTGAATGAATTTTTTATAGTCCTTTATTTGTATATTTAGGAAAAAAAGATCTATTCTAGTACATCGCTATCTGGCTGACAAACTTGGCCTTTGGTCATACAAAGTGATGTTCTTGAATAAACTCAAAATTAAAAATTGTTACTTGCTTGTATATATGTTGGTGGACTTCCAAAACATGCACAGAGATGCTGTGGCATGAACTTATCTTGATAGGTGTTTGAATTGGTTGTTCTCTTCAGATTTATTTGAATTTGGTTATCTGTCTTTATATGTAGTCAAATAATTTCTAACACTAGACTTACCAAAAAAAAAAAATTCTAACACTACACATGTATCCATTTATAAATTGGTCTGGACTTGGATCAATTTGCTCATTGCTCTCTCTCTCTCTCTCTCTCTCTCTCTCTCTCACTCTCATTCATTTAAATCCACTGGTTTGTCATCTGGAATTATTTAAACACCTTGGCCAGCAATGACCTGTATGAGTAATGGTACCATGTAACAATGAGTGCATCAGGGCATTATTAAGTGTAATGATATGCATGGGAATGCATTCACATTGAAGATTGTTGATTGCTTTTGATGCTAGTGGTTGCCTTCAGGGCTTGAAATGGAGCAGATTCATGTGATTCCAGGTTTATATCTGTATTTTAGGATTCCCTATCTCGATTTGAATCCAAGTTGGATTCAATGACCATGATCCATATCTGGCCCATATAAGTCAAGACCATTTAGTATAAAGTATATTTGGTAGAATTCAATCCCTTTTTTGAATTCAGATTCAAAATTAAGATCCCGAGCCCGACTGATAGCTAGTAATAGGCAGTTACGATTAAATGCACATTCAGTAATATGTGGGTAGTGGTGCACTGTGCACAAGTCAGTTTGATGATTATGGTTCTTTTGTAGTCATGAGAATTGCTATTGTGCAAAGTGTACTGTGCTTTAATTATAATAAAATTCATGGTAATGGCAACTTAATTGTTGCAGCCTTTTCTTTCATACAGCTCCTGTGTTTTCTTGTGCCCTAGGATATTATTTGCATCAAATGAAAGCACAATTTATAGAGTTTGCACCTTTCAACAAATGAGATCTTTTTTTATCGTTTTCTCAGGCGCAATAATGGGCCTTTCTTGTGACACTATCAATTTTCAATGTGGGGACAAAATGGACTCTTCATATCCATGGTTTGTCCAAAGATGATATAGTTATATACTTAAGTTGAGATCCCTGCATATGATAAAACCACTTTTCTTTGTCAAAGTTTGTTGCCTAGCGTGCTTGAATGGTATACTGATAAAACCACTTGTCTTTGTCATAGTTTGTTGCCTAGCATGGTTGAATGGTATACTGATAAAATTGAACAATCTTCTTGTATGACTATATTTGTGAGAGGTCCACATATACCTGGCACTGCAGTTGAACTTGCAGTCTGATGTATTGTTTGGTACATTGTTTTTTTTTTTTTTTTTTTTGAGTTTCTTGATACATTTGCCTTATTAGAGTGAGAGTCACAGGAAATGGATTGTTGCTTTGCAAAAATATTCTGCTGATAGTAACCCAACTCTGGCGTGTTATGGTTATGGTTCATGCAACTGGAACTGCAGTCATTCTAACTATTTAGCTCAATGTAAGCTGTTTGTCTCCTTCCTATTAGGGGGAAGAAAACAAGGAAACAACATGGAGCAACAATGTCATCCGTGTTTGATGGTGCAATGTCATCAGTGTTTTTAGTGGTTTAGGGCAAATGGGCAATGTGGACCAATTTCAGAGTGCACTGGTCATTAGGGGAGAGTTTTTTTTTTCTTTGACGATGGTGGTGTTGAGTTTGAGCCTTTTAGAGCACCTCATAATCCACCACCGAACACATGCAGTCCTCTCGTTGCACGTGTACTGGGCAATTGCCCGGAAAATTCCTTGGGGGGTGGCCCCAAGGGGATCTCTAACAAACTTTGATTCATCAAACAAGTTACCAAACTGTTCGGCCTCGACAAGAGCAATTTCATGGCATTGGCAATGTCTCTTTATATTTTTAATCTTGTGATTACATATTTTCTTTCAATACAAAAAAGAGGCTATCAATGACTAGTGGTTTTCTTTCCCCAAGCTTTCAGTGTCCAAAAGAGCTGCTAAAATTTGTTTTGAGAAACATTGATAAGAAAGAGAAAGATTCATATATGGAAACATCTTTGCTATTATGTCCCAGGAAAAAAAAAAGCAAGCGAAATGCTGAAGATTGTTAGTAAAAACTATACAAATTTCATTTGTAAAGTACTTCACTTGTAAAATAATTAAGACAGCCTATGCATGAATGCCAATCAGTACTGGAATTAATTTTCCATATTGATATCCCCTGCAAGTACAGGTCCTTTAGTGTCACTATTGCTTTTCCTCTTAAAGTGTGTATCCCTTCACAATATCATCCAATGGAAGATGAATGTTACACATTCTTACATACTTATATCAAGAATATAGATTACCTATCACATGGGCATCTTATAGGAGTCCTTGGATTAGTCGAGGCAAAGTCTTCGACACCCGATCATCATCGAAAAAATAACTTATTTATCAGGTATAGAGAAAAATATTGCAAATATGCCATGCAATTAAATCAAAATTATAATCAATATCCAACAGTATAGCCTCTCCTCCCTCAAAAGGGAGGTGAGGAGTTCGAGCCCTGTAATGGTTAATATATGAAACGTCTGTGTGTGCGCTTAACCAACTCAAATATATATATATACCAAGGACTTTTATAGAGAAAAAGTTTGAGCCACGGGATGGCTAACTGAGGGTCTCAGTGCCTCAAATAGAAATGGACAAGACCAAACTAAACTCGGCTCATTTTCTCAGTGAACGAGTCCGTACCAAGCTTTAAACAAGCAAAGCCCAAACTGTTTATGAACAACTCGGTTCATTTGTAGTACTAGCCACACCTGCTTGAATGGGATTAATTTTCCCTTTTAGTGAGGGTGAACTTAAGATTCTGAGGTCTAATTTCCAACAGGTCTCAACAATAACACGAAACCTGTTTCACTTTCTAGTGTGAGAATTCATGAGCCTCTTCCTGCTTAACTCAACTAACGCCTTCTGTGGCTTTCTTCTCACTTTTGGACTTAATCTGTCATGGAAATAGTTCCTCTTCTGTCATTGCTCGCTCGGTGTCACAAGATCAGAGCTTGCATGACAAAGCAAATTTGTCTCCGAAAAGAAATAATACAAATGAAGCCAACAATCCCAAGGAGTACAACAAGAGGCAGAAAATTGTTCTATCGTTTCAGATTGATCTATGATGTAAACATTGTACCATGGGCCACAGATTTATTTGTTACAATAAAGTTGAAATATAAAAAGAGAACCTAAGGCATTAAAGGCAACACAGGTCATGCCACACGCTATCCAAGCATCTACTATTTCCATTCGGGAATCTAAATTAAACATTGTACAATGAATTTTTGCAGTGTGAATGCTGGAAATTATTCGAACATCAGGAAGTACCCATAAAGTGGTGAAATGCCACAGGCTCACGGATGTCCTCTGCTGAGACTCTTTAAGATAAATGTATGCTAGGAAAATAAATGTTGGGTCAAGCAGCCGGGCTAATCTAACTGATGGGAGATGGAGGTCACTAAAAACACTCGAACGTTTAAGATGTCTGAGCCACCTTTCGACCATAGCATATAAGCATAACAAAATCCTTGGCTGAGCTGCCAACAGATGTCTTTACTCTTTCTGATGTAGGTGCTGTCTGCAACCACAAATCTATCAAGTTATGCATCCGCAAGTTGGGAAGGATTGGCTGACCCTGCAAAGTAATCTCCACCTGTGTGAAACTCAAATAATCAGCAAAATTTGACTTCACATGCGCGCGCGCAACAAAATAATAACCTCAGTTTTTTTAAGATCCATATTAACTGTTCAGAGAGTGAGAAAAATATATATAATTATATGAATTTATTTTCTTAGGAAGGGTTCAAAGATGAACTTACCTCAGCTTCGCTTTTAAGATCCAGTTTTTGCACAAGGTACTTCTTGATAAACGAAACTGGTAGATTGACATCCCTATGACAGCAACAAACAAGGTAGACATATTAAAAATAGAAAATGAATATCTTAGCTTGCAGAAGTCTGTCCAATAAAGTCAAAAACATGATAATGAAGTAGTTTTATTTAATTTATCATCACTTAACTTTTGATCTCTGCCTAAGACTTCTTCTCTCTCTTTTTCTTTTATTTTTTGGTTTGGGCAGGAGGAAGTCCTAGAAATGGAACCATGCACACCCACCCCCTAAAAAAAAAAAAAAAAGTTTGCCTATATCAAATGATCAAAGTACTTGACTGTTGATATTATTTGAGTATGGATGTCCCATGGAAATAACATGGCTTCATTATGTGTTGAAAAGTATTCAAAGGCGTAACTTTATCTTCTATAATGGAGCCAGGCAATGCCAAGGAGCCACGGACATGATCTTGTTCAAGTTTATAGAATAAGATACAAGTAGGTCAGAATCTGAAGCTAGCCATTGCATTTAAGAAAAAGAAGGGGTTCCAGTATCACCAGCCTCACTCTATGAAGTAGAGAGGAACCTTAACTCTTTTTATCCTTGCTATCCTAGTGAAATTAGTAACTCTCTTACCCTCTCTCTCTCTCTCTCTCTCTCACACACACACACACACACACACACAACACACACATCCTCCCTTAACCATTTTAGAGTAATTTCTACCTCTATGTTCTTATCTTCACATTTCCTCTGAAATTGTAGAACGGGCTTGTAACTATAGATCACTGTATCTTTGGAGATTAATGACGAGGGAATTGAGTTCATGTATATTAATGGTCTTAACTACATTTACTTGATATCACAAATTAGGCCTCGTAAATTCCTTTTCATTATGGCGGAATGCAGAATGAACCTTAAAGAGAGGGTCATCCCTACTCTTAAATTTCCTAGGTAAACTTAGCTACTTGGCCACATATAGGGAAGATGATCTTGGCTTAATGCAATCTACACCACCATCTGTGCTGATAGAACATTGGCACATTTACATATATTTAAAGAGATTCCAGAAACCTCTTTGGCTGAAACAGTGTCCAACTAGTTGAATTATACTCCACACGTGCACAATTCACCTAGTGAGGCACCACTACCATGACCCGGACTCCAAAGCACATCAAGCAAAACATGAAATTCTAATGTTTGAAATATACTGATAGAGCTATAGGAATCCCACTAAAATTGAAAAACGTGGTGCAAATAGTCATACTAAGGGCAAGTGATTTCTTTGAGAAATAAATAAAGAGATCAGAAAACAACAGCACAACTGTACAAGATGCAGGACGTGCTGGTGCTGAGGGAACTCACTTTATCATCAAGTATCTAGAAGGTATCTGTGGCAAGGGTGCATCTCCTTCCCTAAAACCAATAGTCATTAATAAAGATAATTAATATGCAAGGCAATGAATATATATATAATATTACGATTTGAAGTTCTAGGGAACAAGTAGACTCTCACTGGTCTTCAGAAGCAACTAATGTGAACCAAATTGGAGTAACTCTTCTCTCACATTTACTGCTTGCAGCATCAACCACAGCTTGCCCTGAAATATTCAGTCCCTCAGAAGCAACCGCTTTTTTTCGTCGACCCCCACGCATCTTTCTAGGTTTTACTGAACCAGATGGTACAGGAGCTAACCAATTTTCATCATCATGGAATTTTTTGTTCCCACGTTCCTTAACTTTGGCTTTAGGCACATGTGCTTCATCATCACTGATGGGGGATGGTGCTGATTGGGCAACAGACCCTTGTGAATTGGACTTATTAAGCTTTGTTATGCCTGCAGCTTCTACCAGGCGAGTTAAGGGTTTCCAAAGATCATTCATCCCATCCAAAGGTTCAGTTCTATGCTCTGAACCTTTATTAGGCATGTGTTGATCGGAGGTTTCAGCCGCATAAGAATTCTGCAGCATTACAAAATTAAGCAATGACTGTTACTAACTAAAGCAAAGGTATAGTTAATTTCCTTTAAAAAAAAATGTATAATTAATTTCAAAATTCAGGCTGAAAAATAAAAACATCAACTTTTTATTTACATATATAAACAAGTTAATAGGGAGAATAAATAAAAAAAAAGCGATGCAAACTGTTTACCTGCTTTTGATTTCTCAACATCTTGCTTAGATTCACAGGAGAACTTGAGCTTTCTGGCTGATCTTCTACCTTCTTACCTGGCTCCTCGATGGAAAAAGTGGATTCTCGTGAAGCAGAAGCCCTTCTTGCAACAGGTTTTCTTCTTCTAGTCATTACAGTCTGGCTTGAAATATTAGGTGTATTAACCAAGGAAGAGAGAGACCTCTCCTTTCTTCTAGCAGGCAATGTAACAGAGGGCACAGCTTCAGGTTCCTTAGCCTCTCTTTTTGTAGAAGAGAAAATCTTGGCCCTAATATCTTGCAAAATGTGATCTGCCCTGCAGGTTAGCAAAAAAAAGAGGACAGTTTGATAAACATAGAACTCTGTTCCAGTCAAATGCATGATTTCACTTTCTTTCCTTAGTTTCCCTTTGAATTGGGTAATGAGAAGTAAATCACATGCAAATGTGATGGTAATGGTAAATTGGTATGAAAAGATGTTAAACACTGAACAACAGGTCAATAATAATATTTTTACCTGCCCTTTCATATCATCTTATGTAGAAATCCAGGCAGACAAAACAGAAGTTATGGCTTAAAATTTTTAATGATGGCTTAATGCCATGTGAAACCTTACCAGTTCTTTCCAAGCTTTATATGAAAATTATACCACAATGTCAAATAATGACCAAAATAAACTTAAAATTTCAATAACGACCAAGAGATGCTGTGATTTTTCAAACAAATGACACAAGAAGGTTCATGCTACTTTTGGGTTACAAACCCAAAAAGTAACTGCTACAATCCAGTAACCTTAATGATCCTAAAACTAGGAAAGCAATACCAACAAATGATTCAAGTAACAAGAGATCAACCATTGGTTGTCCACATGAATTTGAAAGGTGGTTATTTTCTACAGAATTTATCTTGGGAAACAAATTTATATCTCCTGATCAAGAATATGTCATCTAAAGCACAAGGATCAAAATCAACCCTTAAACATAATGTATCAAGAAAAAAAAAAAAAAAGAAAGAAAAAAAATCCGTAGAACCGCGCATCATTCGACTCAAAATGCTCCATTACATAAACAAGAAATATACTATTTCGTTGCACCATTAAACCTAATAGAGATAAAATAACATTCCAGAACCCGACTTTCATTTTTGGTCAGGCCAATCCCTTACGTTTAGTCTAAACTAACCCTGTGGATACACGCGATCACCTACAAACCAAGTGCATAGAGTAAAACTGGGGAGAGTTGAACCTGAGAGTTCCGGTTCTTTGTCTGTCACCTTAGCTTACTCATCTATCCGTGCAGGTTGGAGCCTTGATGCTCTAAACTAAAAAAAGAAAAAAAGTAAAAAAAAAAAAAAAAAAAAAAAAAAAAGGGATCCCTGGAACACCCATTTTATGCTTCATTTTCAATAACTTCAACTACTTATCTTATTTTGGTTGAATAAATGCAAAAAATGATCAAAAGCAATCATATCATCCTAGTATATCATTGGCCTGAATAATCTACAACAATAAGTTATGGCAGTGCTAAATTTCCATCTCTGCATCTGAAAAATCAAATATCATGACTACAAACCACCACATCATTCGATTTACAAAGAACTGGAAGAATGAAATATTAAAAGGAAGTCTTGGATTAGACAAGAGTCTCTATGCTCATTAAAACAGAGAATCTTGGGAACAATGATATTCTTCCAAATCTAAACGTGTAGTCAATTCACTACCAGAGTCCACAAAATGCAAAATGATAGATCTACTAGACAATTCATCATCTATATTGTGAACATACTTTTTGTGATCCATGTGAAATGCCAATGATTGCTCGCTAATAATTGTGAGTATGTGTATGCATGTATCACGTGTTGTCCTTTGGTAGCATATGATTAAGCCAAAATTGAAAGAGCAAGATAAAATGTGTTGAGAACAAAACAAAAGTAGTAGAGTCACAACATCAGATACCTGAGCTTCTCCAGTGGAGCACAACCGAGATCTATATCACACACTGGGCAGCTATTTAACTCATCTTCTGTAATTTTGTTGTATATGCACTTCCTGCAAACTATTATGAAAATCAAAAGAATCAAAATATCAGATATTAATCGCTTGTCGTTAGTGTGAATGACATGCTCACAATTGATAGATCTTTGATGCTCTGCTTACCCAACTCAAAGTGTACATGAAATTCAAGAAAAACCCAAGTCCATGAGGGGTAACTGATTGAAAAATTGGGACATCTTATAGAGCACATCTCCAAGAAATTTGGGGAATTTAACAAACATGTATTCTTGTGTGTCACCAGTCCTGAGTGCACAACAAAAACTGACCAAGGCATTGGAAGCACTCCACAAACACAGGTAACATGCATCCATGCAGTATATTCTAGAAAACCCCAAAACTGGTTCAATGAAGTTTGTCACAATATTTAGTACAAATTCTCATGTTCAAGCAAAATACATGTACCGACTCTATCTCTAAGTCAAGTCAATAAATTAAAGCTTTTCTTCCAAATAAAGTAACAACAGAATTGAACAATAAATTCCTTTTAACACATAAATATCTTTCAAATTATCAAAAATTCTTTCTTGACTACCATAGTTTTTTCATTGCAACTCTAACTTCACTTACAAACAAGATAGAACAGTAATCTAGCTATTCTTATTGATCTATTCATGTTTATAGCTTAGTATCAACCAATCATTTGACGACGAACTGATATATATAATAGTAATGCAAAAAAAGGTATACCCAGACCAAAAAATGCAAAATGAAGCATACCAAAATATTAAAACATGAATTGATCGATCAAAGTGAACGTAAACTGATCAGAACCCAGATCATAAGATGTGAAAGCAAAGTAAATGAGATAAAAATTAAGAAGCACAAATATATAGGAGGGATCAAACAGATGCATATATATATAAAGAGAGAGGGGGGCTCACAAGTGTGAAGACATTCAGTGATGGAGGTGGCATCTCTGAAGAACTTATTGCAGATAGGACATGTCATGCATGCTGCGATCTTCTCACTCCGGACTTTCACAACCTGGCTACTGCTCGTCATCATAAACACCTATCTCTCTGCATATATATATGTGTATATATATATCACAAAACCTGACAGCTTCTTATGGACGTACCAAGACCAACATGAGATTGCATGCCACCTAAAAATACACGCAGCAAAATCAAGAGATTTTTCGTCATTCCTCACGAGAAAGCACGAAAATCACCATGTAAATTGTAAGCCCAAATGACCCAAAACACAGAAAGGAAAAGGAACAAGAACAAGAACATGCCCTTTCTCTCTATTGATACAATCTTTCTCTCTCTATATATATATCTATCGATTTAGAGAGAGAGGGAGGGCGGGTTTTGAGGTGTGATTCGAAGATGGGTTTGGATTATTGGAAGAGAACTGACGTGGGTTTTGCTGAATTCGGACAATGGAGGCTTGGGATGATGATAGACTCTGATGATCTGATCGAGGTGTTTTCACCATCAACTATGTGTTACGAACGAGACCGAGTTCGAGACATATATATATATATATATATAAATAAAAATAAACACATAATATATGAATTTACATACAGTTCACACATATATATAAAAGAAGGGAATTGGAGATAAAATACGCTGGTGGTGGTATAACAATTAACCTGCGCACCCAATTGACACGAGTGCGAGTGGGGCTGCTACTGTTTGATGAGTGCACTCCGGCGCACACGGTCTGGCGAAGGAGAGCATCACCCACCGGCGCATTTTAGAGAAGAGCGGATGGAGATGATGTGGGGTTCACATGAAGATTGTGATGAAGAATCTTTAATAAGTGAAGCGTGTTTGATTGTGCCAAGTGGCATGTGGGTCCACCTTGGGTTGTTAACACGTGGAGCCCATCACTGACGTTGGATCTTTCGTAACTTTAGGATACTCTTTACAATACATTACAAGTGCTTACTCGCAAACTGCACATATCAATTAAATTAATTTACCTCTTAATTCATCGACGTTAAAGTGTACTTACTCGCAAACTACACATATCAATTAAACTAACCCATGACTAAATCCACCAATGGCGTTAGGTTCCCTAACTTTAGAGTATATTTTACTAGATAAATTATTTGTACTTACTCTCAAATTGCGTGTGTAAGTTAAACTTTAATTTACGGATGAAATACACTTTTACTGTATAAATTATTTGTACTCGCAAAATGTGTCAGTTAAACTACGTATTACTTAGTTCCCTACAGCACGTGTTAGATAAACTACGTATCACTTAATTCACTAATGACTTTCCTAACTTTAAAACACACTAAACCAAATAAATTATTTGTACTTACTCACAAATTGTACGTGTCAATTAAACTACGTATCACTTAATTCACTCATGAGGTTAAGTTCTCTAACTTTAAAACACATTTTACAGCCTAAATTATTTGTACTTACTCGCAAATTGCACGTGTCAGTTAAACTAACGCATCACTTAATCCACCAATGATGTTAGATTTCTTAACTTTAAGGTACACTTTACTAGATAAATTATTTGAACTTACTCAAATTGCACGTATTAGTTAAACCAACCTATTTATAAGTTAAGGAACATATTCTTGTATTTTGTAAGAGTCAAAACTAAGGCTTTCTTGTAAAAATTCGTCTCAAATTAACCTCTTATTAGACTACTTGTGTGAATAACAAAAAATTTGCAATATTTTTTTTATACGTTGTAAATTTGCAACAATAGTCATAAATTCATAATACTAACCATCCTCTTATTTAATGGCTACACTATTTAATCTTATTAAAAAATTTATCTCAAAATAATCATAAAAATTAAGATTTTTTTTTTTTTTTTTTTTTTCATGAATCCCATGATATCTCATAATTCATTATATGAAGCTAATCACAATTTTTTTTTTCCTTCTTTTATGCTTCGTTTGATTTGCCGCAAAATATATTTTTTAGAAAAAAAATTTCGTAAATTTTTTTTATTTTTTGGTGTCTGAAAAAAATTTTAGGTCGAAGTTAAGGTCGAATCTCTTGGACGAGACATGTAAAATAATTTGTTGAAAATTAATGAAAAACTTATTTATGTTAAATTATAATATTTTTCTTAGTAAATATTTTACAATAATAAAATACCAAAAAAAATTAAAAAAAATTTATTTTACATCCAAACAAGCATAGCCTTAATATTTTAGACACCTATGCATGCCCATTCAAATATACAAGAAACTTGCCACAATTATTCAAAGTAAAATATGGAGTACGTTGTGAGTTTGGAAGACGCAAGTGAGGCAGCACAAAAGCCAAGCAAGGGTGGCCAGCTGCTAACATGCAGCTTTTAGTTTATTTACGACAGCTGGCGAATATGATGTGTTACATTACAATTTATGATATGTCACCAGTCAGTGTCCATGTCGTTGAATGGCCTATTTGGGGGAAATTCAACAGGCATAATAATTACTCTAAGGTGTCCTCATTTTAGTTCTCATTGGACCTTCAGAGACTATTTTTCTTTCTCATTTTCATATCCATACATGAAGGCTGAAATTCTAGGCTCTAGCTTACTTGGTGGGACCATAGAATATCTATACATGTATCTATGCTGAATTTGGAATCCAAATGTCGAGTGGGGTAAAATTTAACAATTCACATTTTTAGTGTGTCAACAATTAACATTATTTATGCAGTAACTATAACTATAACTATTTTATGGAGACTCCTCTATTGGGTGCACTACACATTTGTACTCAACTCTCAGCCTCAGTTTTAAGAACCACCAAGGAATACCACTTGGACCAAGTACTAAGAGGCTGCTGAATGTAACAATTTGGTGTCAACACTATCTCAAATCCCATATTTACTAAATGGATTGCATTTTCATGTCTGCGTGCAAGAATTTATTGTTCAGTTCTATGTGTTCAAAAAGCAAGAATTTCTTGTGCTGTTCAATGTGTTCAAAAAGCACCGTGTTCGTGAAATATTCAAGGCCAGTTCACCGTGTTCGTGAAATATTCAAGGCCAGTTATTCTTGAACTCTCGATCTAGGTGAAGAAGTATCATTAGGTTATAGCTTTCGATGGTATCACTGAGGACTCCCAAGCACACGAATTTTCTATAAATAGAAATATAAAATGGAAGGCTTGTTATTCAACAGTAGAACAGCGGGACTCTTTGGAGGCAATGATATGGTTAATAAAACCCACCACCAAAGAACTTTGTATCTATGCTTCACATCAAACAACTCTAGTACAAAAAGCAATGAATAATAGGGGGTACACTTTGTATCTATGCTTCACATCAAACAACTCTAGTACAAAGAGCAATGAATAATAGGGGGTACACCATATTTCCAAAAAATGAATTTTGATATTAAGGAGAACAATGCAATTAGTGTAATATATTAAAATCTCTAATTCTCTATCCAATCCTGCACCCTAGACAACAGGGTTCAAACACCGATCATGATCTTTTAGAGGAGTTCATTAAATGTTATTTCGGGATCGACTTCAATTACCAATAATTACAAGTATAACGTATAAATGAGCATCGAGAGCAAGAGGATGACAAAAAAAAAAAAAAAAAAAAAAAAAAAAATTATAATTTTACAATTAGCTCTGTAGTTACCCAAAATGGGTTAACCAGGTTTTAAAATTTTTATAGTCTTTGGATCTTGATCAATAGTTGTTTTTTTCTCTCCATTCTGAAATTCCAGGGAGGGAGACTGAACTCAACCAGTTATGAAAGATTCAGTGACCTCTTATGAGACATTCAGCAACCTCAATTCGTTTATGAAAATAAAAATAAAAATGTGCCAGAGTTCAATCTCGTTCTCCTGACAGGACCTACTTCGTCATGAATTTTAAGATCCAACAAGACCCTTGTAGCGAGCATAGGAGACAATAAGTATGAAAAGGATGGAACAGGATATCCCTGCGACAATGACCACCTGGTAATATCAAAAGACAAGTTCGTTACATTTAGTGTGAACTAATAATTTGATCAGAGTCACAGTCAAAATTCCAAGCTCAAGTTCCACACGTACCCATTTAAACATGTATCCATGATTGTCATTCCAAGTATATGGTATGTTCATACCGAAAATTCCAGCCACCAAAGAATAGATGGACAAACTGACAGTTCCTGAACTAAGAAAAAGCTCCAACTGCACCAAGACAAGAAGGGGAGAGCAAATCCATAATATCAATAAAAGCTTCCAACACAAACTTCAAGTGATCTAAAAAACAAACAAAGAAGAAGGCAGAAAGTAAATGTCGACGTCTACAGAACCTGAATCAGTTGATTACGATGATTGTCAAGCTGTAAAAGGGATGGAGAGACACATTTAGATCACATGATTCTTTTTATACCCAACAAAGAAACCATATAATTTGAGTATAATGCTTCAATTTTCAAGTTTATTACCTGAATGTTAATATAATCCTCTGTGTCATCAATATATTCACGTAGCTGCAAAATTTTAACTGGAAGATTAGTCAAGAGTTTGATTATGCAATAAATGATTCTCTTTCAGAGACTGTTACATAAATAGAGAGTTTGATAATGACACGTGAAGAATGCTATAAGCTTTCTTTCAAAAATTCAACTAAATTAGTAGGACCTCCTATACGCAAATTTAAAGTGAGAATTAAATGGACCACTCAACTATGAAGGGAAACCCAAATATGGCCCCCTTCTTTAGGACAACATCCAACACCATCATAACCACAATGAGAGGAAAAAATAAAATAATGCGCCTTATCTCACCCATTAAAACTCCTAAAAAAGAATGATACATACATTAAAGAACATGGGTCCAACACACTCATCTATGTGAACTACATTTTTCTCAAGCAACATCCAAAAGAACCATAGTAGGAACTAGGAACTCTGCATATCAGATTTAACCAATTATCGCAGTATTTCTCTCTTCCCAAACTGCTATAAGAAATTGTCAAATAATTGAATGGAACTTGATATTCATATTCTGTAGAGTCTATTGTTCTTCAACAACTTGAAGAATCCCTTGTCAGTTTATCATTTTAAATTCAGTTAGAATTCATATGTTTAACAGTGCTTCACTAATCTAATCTTCAACAAAACTAAAAAGAGCAACTACATAGATCTCGTGTCAGTTTATGATTTTAAAATTGAGTTACATATTTCATATTGTCATAATACCTCTTCACTAATCAACAAAAATAAAATAACACCTATGTCGGTAGAATTTTTTACAAGATCATTTAACTTTGGCCTCTGCTTGCTTATTTTATAATAACTAAACACCAATAATACAAACATCCATAGTAATATTACACATTCAAACATATCTGAATTCGTTTTAGTACTCAAAGTGCACATTCCTTGTAGCTTCTTATAAAGAATATATACTGATAAGCATGACAAATTCAAAAAATTCAGCAACACCTACCGTAGTTAATTTGTTCAAGGTTCCATCAATTTGCATAAAGTAAGCCTGCAAAATAAACAACCTCTCTTAAGATATTATTCTGAGATGACATGACAAACACAAAGTAGACAAATATTATTGCCAATTATATTATTACCTCAAGTAACATTTCAAGCTCTTCAACATCATTCTCATCTCCACGAACTGTTACCACACTTGCCCTACTTGCTTTGGATATCTTCGAGCCTATGGTAGGCGAGGAAGGAAAACAAATGGGCGGACCCGAGCCACTTACAGGTGAAAGTGCTCCAGTCATCTTTCTTGACAAGTAAAGATCAGCCATATCGTCATCATCATCCAGAAGTTGTTCAAGCTCATCCCTCACCTGCAATCACCTAAAATTTTGAGAGCAGAATAATAAAAGGGCCCAACACCAGAATAATAATCTCTTAAAATTTTGAACAACAAATAAACAAAATCGCTTAAATCTATAGACAATATTAATTAAAAAGAATGGCTTCCACGACAATGCAAGTGATATCAGAAAAACAAACAATAATAATCTGAAGAATAACTCGCTTAGATATTTGATAAGAACATGCACCCCACAATTCTCAGTTTGATCTTTAAACATGTATCAGCACAAACCAAGTTCTATGTTTGCCCGTTTGCTTGTTTGCACCATCATCTATCTTTCAGAAGTGCCCAAGAAGCATATATCTAAATGTGCCTCTCTTTTTTCTCCCAAAAACATTGCAAGGTCCAGCAAGACTAATCCAATGTGTCATTACCCTTAAGAGTGTCCAACCATCTTAAAGCAGAGAAGAAACTAAGATTACGATCACATGTTTTCTAATTTGTTCAGTCCGTACAAAACCACGAAATGAAGATTTGATGGGGGCATAGAAAGTTATATTTGCTAGCTACTAAGTGGGAAAAAAAATAATGGCTAGTTTTGCCCAACTCGTGTCAACCAACATCTGATGGAGATCTAAGTCATCAGAAAATGAACTGTTTCTTCATGTTCTATTTTTCAGAATGCAAGCGCCAAGGCTGCATATTGAAAGAGCTCATCTTCATATACAAATTGGCCAAATTTTTTTTTTTTTTTTTGGAAATTGGTAATCCAATATTCACTTAATGGAGATGACATAGGTTGATGAGAACAGAAATACTTTTGTCTGCGAAATAAAAGGAAATAAGTACTGGAGTATCATTTCCTGGGAAATGCTTGCACGCTCCATTGCTTTCTACCCAACCACAAAGAGAGAGAGAGAGAGAGCAATAAATGGTCCCTCATTTCCAAAATTTGAAATTCTGTGCAGCAAACCTCCTTTATAAATCATATAGCTTATGCAGCTAATGCCAAAGAAAATCAATTTCAGATCTTTAGACATGAAATCTTGGCAGTTTGGTCTCTTCTTCAGATTCTACAGAAGTCCAAGGTCTGTATGTTCCTCGTTGCAACATGGTCTGAAGTCTAATGTTTGAAGAATTTGGTTTGAGTTACCATCAAATGCTAGGTAGCACGGACACGGGTACGATACGACATGGACACTGCAATACGTCAATTCTCAAAAAAATCGGACACGGACAAGGCAAGGATGCGGCAATAAAATAATAATATAATTTTATTATATATAAAAAATTATTCATAAACCCATTTAAATTTAAGCCAGTTAATATTTCATATTTAAATATATATATATATATATATACACACACACAATGGCCCATCATATAAGCCCATGCGCCCAAATTTGTACAAATCTTACATCCAAAAGGGATAGGGTTAGCCTTGTGACCAAACAAGTGGTCACATAAGATAAGATTGCAGTACAAATCTTATCACTTGCAGTATAAATCTTATCGCGGCCCTCTATTTTCATCTCATTTTCCGGGTTTTCTCTGTCTTCAGCTTCTTTCATCTTTTTTTGTTTATATTCTCCTCTGCCCAAACTTTCAGATCGGAGAAAGCTGGTATAGAAGAACACGATACTGGCAAATAGATCTGTACATTTATTTGTATTGTATCAATTTATACTTTATTTCATTTAACAAACTTTTTTTCTGTCTATTATATAGAGATGAATATATACACATCTATGTAGATATAATGATATATTGATATATCATCTTCTCCTCTTCTTGCTTTTTTCAAAAAAATCTAAAAGATCCGGTTGCCGTGTCCTATCCCGTGTCGCTGGCGTGTCGCCGATGTATCCTCTGCCATTTTTAACAAAATAAAAACAGGACACGGTTATAAGGTGGCGGACACGTGTCCGGCCCTTCGACACGCGTGTCCGTGTCCGACACGGGTACGTTAAATGCTCAGTGCGTGTCCGTACTTCATGGATCAAATGAGACCAAAAAAAGGAAAAAGAGGTCAAAGACCTCCACAACAAGTGGATGAGCATTGTATTCGTCAAACTCCAAAAAGGGGCCCCTGATTCATTTTTCTTCAACCAGAAAAAAAATAGAAACAAAGAAAAGTAGTACAAAAGGTTGATGAGCATTGTATTCGTCAAACTCCAAAAAGGGCCTACTGATTCATTTTTCTTCAACCAGAAGAAAAATAGAAATAAAGAAAAGTAATACAGGTAAATGAAATGACCCTATAGATTTAAAATTAAACCATTTAAAGTAGACTTTACATTTAAAACTGTCATTTAAAGTAGACTTACCAAAAAAAGTTTGTGTTAAGTCATTTAAAACTGTCATAATATGAATAATATACATGTTACTTTTTTATAGAACTGGAAAGTCTCAGTTACATCTTATTCATCAGCAGAGCAAAGGCTAGCTTGCAACATTACAAAAAGGAAAATTCCAATATGCCACCAAAAAAACAGCCAAAATCATTCTGTATTGATTCTAATTATATTGGTCAAGGACTCAAGCTCAATAGGTGAAATAAAGTAATAAATAAATTAAGAACATGTAAATTTGGCATCATCGAAAATGAGGATTTTGATGATACAAAAATTTACACACCAAAACGGAAGAACTTGTACCTTTTGAACACGAGCAGTCAACCTCGTCATTGCACTTTTCAATTTACGAACCCGATCCAAGTTACGGCTACTAATCTGCAAATATCAGTGCTTAGAAAAAAGTAGAAACTAAGAAAACTATAAAAAGCTCAGAACAGTGTGGAAAGCAAGCAGGAGCAATAATGATGAAAGAAGAATGAAAGCATCATCCGCGGGGAGAGAGAGAGAGAGAGAACATAAAGATATTAGTTTGCTGCATCTAGAAACAGTGGCCAACTAAATTGAATGACAATTTTGCCGCTAAAATCAATACAAAAAGAATAAAAAAGAAGAGAGAGAATACGGTTGCAAGAAACAACATGCTTGTGGAGGAGGGATGTAGGTCTGAGGTTATACACATCACTCAAAGGCATAAAAGACCTGAACTCAACCTAAAATTTTCAAATTATTTGTGACGACCTCTGTGGGCGGGTGTGATGTGGGCAGGTATGAGACATTGGATGAGCTACCACACTAGCAGGGTGTCACGATCCCACATCGCCTATGTAGGTTCAACACCCATCTATGACACAACGCGTTTTAAAGCTGTGATGGCCGTGAACCCATCAGAACTCCAACTTTTGGCATGCTTGCTCTGGAGTAGCACCAAGATGGGTGACCTCCTGGGAAGTCTCTGGTCCGGGGGAGCCAAAAGTGGACAATATTGTGTCTGGGTATGGTGAGGGTGGTTACATTGTGTCCAAATGGAAAGTTAAAAATTAGAGGTACATTTAGGTCATCTTAATGATGCAAGAGATGATCTAAGATACAGCAAAAGACCTCAGTAATAGTACTTCTTCATTATGCAGTATGCACAGCATTTAACAGACATAGGCTACAATCACAGAATCTGCAAAAGGAGGTTGGAACTTCTATCAACCAAGTCAGTCACCAAAACTCACATGTTTCGGTCACATGGGGTTTCTTTGAGATCTGGTTGATAGATAGCATGGCATCTCTTTGGGTACAAAGTTCACGAGCACAGAAAATCTGTCATAAGACAGTAGGTTGACAGCTTCCGTAAAAAAAGCAGTAAGTTGATAGTTATATTGCCTTGCATATATGGGCCTAAAGAGTAATGGATAAATATAGACAAAATCTAAGTCCTTTGTCCACGGACAACGGATTTACTTCCAAACCAATAATTCAGCTTGTAGTCCCTCCAATTGACACACACACACACACACACAAAAGAATCCTCCGAACACACAAACAACCACGCACCTCTAACAGCGACAATTTAAGAAATATGAACCCGGAGCTGAAGAGCAAAAATGCGGATTACTTCTAATAAAAAGTTCTAGCATAACGGAAAAATTTACCTACTATGTATCTAAACTTATGTCCCAATATTTGCAACCTTGGATTTTACAACACTATAAGCTAAATGTCAAGTAGAATGTGCAATTTCTAAATTCTACCATTTGAAAAAAAATTATATACATAAATATACACAGAAAACATACAATTATAAATACATACATACATATATATACATACATATATATATATATATATATATATATATATATATATATATATATAGAGAGAGAGAGAGAGAGAGAGAGAGAGAGAGAGAGAGCTAGACTGTAATTATCTTAATCATCAAGAACAACAGATGTGTAAAATCTGCACCTTAGAGGTAAGCTCATCTAAAGCAGGATAAGCAGCAGTCTCCAATTCTGTTGTACGTGCAGCAAGAAAACTGCAGATGGCTTCCAAGGCAACCTCCAAGGCCCGGAATTCAAATGGAGATTCTACATTGCACAGAATAAAAATAATAAGACATCAAGCACAACCCAGAGGAAACAATTCGGAGAAAAAACCAGTTCCAATAAAACCAAAAGAAAAAACATCTTTGATTATTATAATTATCATTTTTTAAAACTTCAAGATCATAAAATCAACATATTTACCATCTTCTTCTCCAGCCTCAGGATCATGTTGTCCAACCAACTCCTTTCCATCTCCTTGACCATCTCGCATGGAATTTGCTGGGGGCAATCTCCTTCGGAGTTCCTCAACAACAGGAATAACATTATCATCCAATGGATCTCGAAGCAGCACCTATTCAACAATAAAATTAGAAGCACAATTTGCCAACCCCACTTATTGTCATGAGTATACACAACTACACAGAGGTTCAAGGAAACAAACTCATAGTGCCCAGAAACTGCAAAAAAAGAATCAACAGAAGTAACATAGAACTCCTCAAACCCAGGTGCTACTAAACAATAATATCAGCTTTAATCCAGAAATGGAAGTTCCACGCCTTTAAAACTTGTCATATTCTATATGTACCAAATTTACCATGAGAGACAAGGAGATTGAACCAAACCCTGTACTCCTGCTAGTAGCTTAAAAACAGGGTCATGAACACTAGAATAACTAGTATAATTGCCAAATAAAAAAGACAAAAAGAAAGCGAGAACAACTAGGCCAAGCAAGAACCGATGTTGGCTTCATCTAGTGTACCGCATATAGCTAAGTTCAACAAAGAAGTTATCACAAATACCCGGAAGTTTTCTTGTTCATGATTTTACTCAATTATATGAAAACTGATGTTCAAATATTGGTGTTGAGAAACAAAAGTGCACACTTCACATGGAAAAAATTTTCCTGATTTTTGTAAATTAATGAAAACTGATGTAAAGACCTTAAAATTAATTTTAAAAGAACACATGAAGTCAAGCAACGGGAAATTCTTGAAGAGCAGATGCCCAATCAGCATCCACCCATCCAGGTCAAAGCTATAGCCTTAGACTATGACTACACCCATGAGCTTAAACTCCAATTAGGACCAAAATTTGACTTCTTTCTCAATTCATACATACAGTTTAGGAGTGCAGTTGGAGGCAATAATACTTCAATTTTATTTACCAAAAAAAAAAAAAAAAAATTGAATTTATTATAAAAAAAATTTACATTTTCCAAAACTCTACACTTCTTTCATTAAAACCTTTCAACCAATTAAACAACCAATTGTAATGTAAAATTAAATAAAATAAAACACACTAAATCAATTATCAAATCGTTAAAATAAAAAAAAATAAAAATAAAAAGCTAGAGAACGATAACAATAAATACTCAAAAAAATAGAAACTAAAATATAAAGCTTACCTCGTCTGCAGTAATAATCGCTTTGATATGCTGAACACCCATCCATCCATATACACAATAAAGAACGCAATTAGGAAGAAACCCAATCAAACACGACTCTATACATGCATATACATAGATACATATATAAACAGAACACTCTAGGAATGACGAAATTAAAACCTCCAAATTGAGAACGATGGCCTTTTCGCGGCCCAATATAGTTGAAGGATAGGACAATAGGGGATCGAGAATGCGAAGATCGCGAGCGTGAATCTGAACGCGGTGCATAATAGCGTACTTGTCGACATCTAACATCGTTCCCTCGCCGCCGTAAGAGTCCATGAGAATCCAATTCCTCGACCCGGCCGCCTTCTTCTTCAAACCCGACTGCGGATCCGCCGGAACGATGTGACCGTCTCGACCCATTTCTAACCATCCCCAACCCAAAAATATATGTATGTTTGTATATGAATATGCATGTACATGTATCCCTATGTCAAACACAAGAATCCAATAGGGTTCTTCCGGAGAAGGTTTCACATGGAGATTACATGTCTACATAGATTTCGGAGAGAGAAAGCGGGGGAGAGAGAAACTGTCTTAATTCAAGTGTTACCATGTTTCTTTTTAAACCTGCGAAACTAGAGACGTACCAGCGTCGATTGCCTTTAAATAGTTGCAATTTAATCAAACTCGGGTGGGGATTATTTTAGGGTTTTTCATTTATTTCTTTTTCCTAGTACTAGCAATTTAACAATATTAATCTTATTTGATACTCTCCAAACACGGCACTTTTTATTAAATTAATAAAATATTTTATTATTTTTTTTTTTGGCAATAGGGGTGTGGGACTCTCACCCTTTAAACTGTAATTAGCATTTTATGATTTACTTTTTTTTAAGATGATAGTGGCGTTGTAATTTTTACGGTTTGTTTCTAACAAATTTCTTTTCAAATTTTAAATTGCAAAAGAAATTTTTTATTTTTTTCTCCAAAATTGAGAAATGAATTGAATAGTAACTAAAATGGAATTTTATTTGCACGTAAATTTTTCTTTTTAACTCTTTATACAAAAAAACTCAAACACTTACTTACTATTATGGAGACTTAAACTCTTTGCACGCAGAGAAAATAAGGTTAAATAACAAAAATCTTGATATTATCCCGATTTAAATAAGCTAAAATAAGCTGACTCCAAAAAAATACAAACTCCAGTAAAAGTCTTGAATACCCCCATCAATCAACACAAACCCGCTGATAGAAAATGAAATAACTTTTTTTTTTTTTTTTCGGTTAAAAAAAATGAAATAACATGCTTATGAGCCAAAAGAGCATATTGTAAGTGTGCGTCACTTTCACGTGCGATATCCACTCTCTTTGATTCCTTTTGGTAGACAACAATGTCTTTTTAAACGAACCTGGAACCAAAAACATATGGGGGCATATATGCTTCGATACTAAATGGAAAAAAAAAAAAGAAAAAAGAAGAGAAGTATATATGCTTTTTTTTGTATTTTTCTCATTTGCTCAAACTAAACCTGAGGAGAAGGAGAAGAAGAACTAAAAAGATACAAAAGGTCAAATTTGTCCTTTGAATATTTTATGTAGATGATTGCTTTCTGTTTTTTCATACATGATACACCATCACTTTCGATGTTGGGATCCTGTGCAATATTGTATTATATCCGATGATTTACAGTGCATATATGTGTTATTTGTTGCAAGCCGCACTCGTAATCTACTCTAGATAATTCGTCCATATATTTTTTTTTCTACTGAGAGGACGAAAGGTCCTTATCATGGCCAATTTGAAAATGAATTAGGTGAATCATAACTTGTAATGATAGCCCAGTTTATACTTATATATAAATTTTATTTTGGGGATATTATATAAAATTTAACTTGTGGAATGGAGATCCAATGGTCATTTTCAGCGACCTTCCTATATTTGTATGGTTGGAAAAAGCTTAGTCTATTCTAATATAAAAGATTTACCATAATCTGTTTGGTACACTTTTATATTCTTTATTAATGTACTCTGAAATGCTTCCTTCCAAAATGTTCGTTAAGGAGTACTTTTTTTAATCAAGCGGGAAATCTCTCAACAAATCCACTATGTGAATAAAAAAATATTTTTATAAATATAGCAGTTAAAAAATTGTTGTTAGTAAAATTCATGTTAGGTGTATCTGTCAATTTCGTTTTTGATAACAATTTTTTTTAAAAAAAGCATCTCTATTGCTAATTACTATACTTCATAATAATAAGTTTATAAAAAGAGGTGAAATTGTTGTATAAAAAATAAATAATGACAATTGTTAAGGAAAAATAGTTATCTAAAATATTTTTTAAAATAATAACACTTTTAGAGAGTTGAAAAGTACTCAACGTCCAAGAAGACCATTTGGGCCTAGCGTGAATTAGTATGATATGGGCCTAGAGTGAACTAGAATGAGTTTTAAATGTATCCCAAAGAGTAAATAAAGATGATGTGTACATTTTATAATTGGTACATAAAAGTTAAAAGAAGGTATTTACCTTTTTTTAAGTTATGCTGGTTGAGTGGTTGGGCCAAATTGGCTCCAAGCCAATACAATACACACACAGTGGGAACATGGTGGGTCTCACTCTATTCCACTCGTGTCTGTTGGTCTGGGTCAAATTGGCTCCAAGCCAATACAGTAAGGAAAGAACAAAGAAACAGAATTTATGCGTGGGACCTCATTCATATGAAAGAAAGACAAAAATAATGACGTTATATAATCTTGGGACCAAGGCCTGAAGAGCTAGAAAGAAAATACTGAGCAGTTATACATAGATGCAACAAAGCCTGTTGTATATTGAAGGGCAATTTATATCTGGACTCGTTACAAAACTCTAGGGGCAAAGAACAACATAAACATTAAACATACAGGGGCAAATAACACCATAAACATAACATTGTTTTCTACACATCTCAAAGCTTACAAATTATGGTTTCTATTCCTTCATTCTAATGTTTCTTCCTTCTACATTTCATCCAGAAATCACCAATCAGTGCCGATTTGGTTGATTCACACAATATCACAGCAATCCATACCTGTTGAGAGGTTGGACGAAAACCTCAGTTTTATTTTGCTCAATCTTTACTCTGAATTCTGAAGGTTGTCCATGGTATCACTCTCGTCTTCACATTAAGCTCTTTGGATTCCATGGCATTGTTAGACTCCATCAGCAATCCAGTCAGCAAACAATCTATAAACTTCCACAATCTCAGTCTAGTATTGATCTAACTTTCAAAAAACTTGTTTCCTTAATGAACTGGAAATTACAGAGCGATAATAGACATCTGCGCAACACATCATCTTCAATACCTGTTAACGGTCATGGTTCCATAGCTCTTGAATTGTACTCAAGTGTCACACTTGGAGATCAAACTGCAAAGTTGTCAGTCTTACCCTTGGCAGAAATAATTTTTCTCTTTATCAGTCATCTGAGAGTTCCTCCGGTGGAAGTACCACCAACTCAGCTTGCAATAAACCCAAATTTCTACAAAAGGAAGCGTAAACTGAGTATGGAAAAGGAAACTATTATACTGCCGTGCCAATTCTCAAATTCATTTTGACTTGGCGCAAATTTAAGGGCATTGTACAACGATTGCGTTTAAACTCATCCATCCAAATTTTACATATCCACAAACTCATGGGAGACATCAGACCCTTCTCCTGGTAGGTTAGATGAAACAGTAACCACAAGGAGTGTTCTCAGCTCACATCAAGAAAGACTTCGTATGCTTTGAAGGAACATCTGTTCACGTAGAAGCTCAAGCTTTAAGGAGTCATCAAGTAGCCACTCCACGCCTTTGCTGTCATTGTATCCCAGCACCATCTCAATTAACAAAAACCACACTGGATAGTGACCTCTTCTGACCTGGAGAAGGGGAAAATTTTGCTAAAGACAACTAGACACCTCAACACTTGAAAGCAACATATAACAAATCTTTCCCCATATGATTATAGGAGAGACTATATAACACCCCATCAACCCTGTACTGCCAAAGTTTGCAAGTGATCTATAAAAACTTCCAAGCTCACATCATCAGTGAACACAATATCTGCACCATTCGTGTATGTTGAGTTCTGAGTAACAGATGGATTCAACTTGGCAAGAAGAAATCTCGCCTGGCTACTGTGCTGGTCACATTTTATAAGCTTGGGAACTGGAACCCTTTCCATCACCAATTGCTCAGCATCTAGCTCCGGGGCCTCCAACAGCTTCCTGAAACTCTCATGGTTTGGGTCCTTGTCATAACCAAGCTTCCTCCACTGAGCAATCTTCAACCCATACTGAATAACCACAAAGAAGTAAGAATCAAAGAGCAAAATTACATCTGGAGAGATGGATCGGACATCTAAAAGGACTGGAATAGGAGGCCCATCAAACGAATACTGGAAAAGAGTAGGTTGGATCATGATAAGAGAACCCACCACCCCCTCACGGTTTAGCATCAACCGGAAAAAAGCAGTCTCATCAGGACTGCTGTTGAAGACATCAATAAACTGCGATCTCCTTAAATAATACATAAATTGTGGGAAAAGGGAGAAGTTAGATGAGAGACGAAAGGAAGATGGATCTTCTGGCACATAATTTCCAAACTTAGAAGCAAAACGAACCAACATCTTATCCAGCCATCTGATCACATCCCTAGCAAAATGACTCTCTGCTCTGTTTATGGCAAGTCTAGCTATGACTGAAGCTGCTGCTTCTTGATCAAACCCAGCAGCAATTTCGGGTGAGTTGTTCCCAACCCACCTTCTTGCAGCGGTTGTCACCCTTTTCCTAATTCCCGTGTTTCCGTGTCTGTAACGCGTTATGAACTGTATGAAAAATGCAGAGCTGGGCTGGACTTTCTGTTCATCACCCAATTGGAAGAAGAAAGCAATGCACGTTTTGTTAGTGAGTGTACCCAACTTCCACATATTGGTAACACCCTCGCCAATCTCCTGCTCGCTAACTGAACTGTTCTTCTTCCGAAGGGAAACACAGGGACCAAGAGCTCCACAAATTTTCACATCTTTGGTGGTCACTATCTCAATAGTTGCATCAAAACACATTCTCAAGTTCCCATTTTCATCATGGTTAAATATGTGGCGCAAGCATTTTCTGAATTGATCCGACTCAAAAGACTCCCCTAACATCATGAATCCGCCCGAGCTCTCAACAGGAACTTTTAGCTCTGATGCTCCAACTTGATCGAGAGAGCAAGCAAACAAATCAAGGACAATAGATGCATCGGATAACCTATGTGATAATTGCTTATAAAATTTGCTAGACTTATCATAGAAAGGTGCATGACCATTAATCAGGTCTCGGTGAGTTCTAATGGCAGCACAAAGATCTGAGTGTACAACCATTCCTGGGCCAACAGTTGCAGGCCCGGATGTGAAGACCATTATCCGGGAACCTGTAGTAACTGAGCATCCTTCTAGAAGTCCAACAGCAGCTGATATTGCTGCTCCTGTGCACCGTTGAGGACGATGGCCTGACATGACTAGTGGTGAAGAATGGATATCCTCAATTGCTGAGGTGATGTTGAACTCACATTCAGAAAGCGGTAACAGAAAACCCTGTTTTTGAATAGCTGACATCTTTACAAGTTGTTGCTTCATTTGATTAATTCCGAGTAACTGCTTCGTCTGATAAAAAATAAAAATAAAATAAAAAACATGTTAAGACTTGAGCAAAAGCCAAGTATATTTCAAGATCCGAAAGTGCGAGAAAATTCTTGATGCACTGGATAAAGGAACCAGTTGAATTCAGCATAAACATTATCTCACTCTAACCTTTGCTAGAACTTATTTATGCATATCAAATAAAAAGTATATACTCCACATGTTGCATTTCTTTACATTGCTGAGTCAAGTTTAGAGAATAGAAAATTTCCTCAGTCAAACCATTATAAACATGAATCTGAAAACTTTGCAATCTCATAAAGCAACACAATATTTTGCAATCCTACATGCAAGTTAGTTATGATGGCCTCAACAATTGAACAAGTAACAGGGCATATGTAACCCCATTTGCATGAAGAGGTTGGAAAGGCCGCCTCAAAATGGCAAGAGAAGGTAAAGAAGTTGGAATAAGAAAGCAAGGCTCGCCCAGGAACCTAGGACATACAAAAATCATGTAAAGGATAGAGCAAGCAGACATGTTCACCGAGAATAAGACAAACAAAATGGAATTATGATAATGGTACGATAAATACTTATGGAGGAAATTGCAAACTAGAAACAATTTATGAAGTGAAAATACTAAGTATGTGCTATATGGAAAAGAAAAACATAAGATGGAACGTGGAAATTTGTATATACTACAAAGTAGAAGAATAACAAAGACAAATAGTTATGGGATGCTATTGGTAGAACTTGTGTTAGATAAAAATGAAACTAGCACAATTACTGCACATATCTCCGAAATAGAATTAGATGAGCATTAAACAACCATTGTAAAATTTACTAGGATTATGTGATCAAACTATTGCTTTTGTGTGATGGAAAAAAGGATTCTATGCAAGATTCAAATTTTATTTTCTTAATTCTTCCCTTCTTCATAATTCTCTACAACCTAAATATATTAGTCTAATCACAACCAACTCTTATTGTCATCCAGGAATTTCAAGCAACAATTCTTACATACATTCCAATAACCGATCACCATCTAAGGCAAGGCAAATCCAAACCTTTTTCATCCATAACAACACCTTATTTCCAACTTATAAAACCCTAATTTAAAAAGTTATCGTAACATTAGCCTATCGCATAACAAATTGTAGACAATATTATTGCATCTTGAAAAGGTGGACAAGGACTGTAATTTTCTCTCGGAAATATGGAAGGAGTGTGAAGGGTTTGAGTTCAGTATTGAAGCGTAAACCTCAAGCTGTAAATCCAAATGGGAGCTATTCACTAAAGATGGGATGTGGAATTGTGATTATAGTAAGGCATCAACTCGTTTGATGAAGAATATTGAGGGCCTCAATGAATTCATTGGATTTTTTAATGAGGAATTCGAGGATGAAACAATGAGGTTATATGGAGATTCTAAGAGTATGTAGAGAACTAAGGGGAATGGAGGGTCAAAGTAGAGTAGGGGAGGATCCAGCTAAAAAAAAAAAAGAGAGAGAAAAAAATAAATTTATAGTTTAATTATGAGGAGATAGGTGAAAATGAGGGAGTTCTTCCTCACACATCGTTTTAGGGGTTTTGAGAGTGAAGGTGGAGGGCCTTCCTGAAATTCTGGTGGTAGATTTCTATTAGAGTTGCTTATAAAATGAGCGGAGACTAGCAGGTCAAATTGTAGAGATGGTCTTACTTTGGGTGCAATGCTCCTTGCTTTTTTTCTTTTTTGTTGATTAGTATGCTCCTTGATTTTCTTTTCTTTTTTCATTTTTTTTCAGGAAGTTATTAATAAAGTTTTTTTTTTCATTTGTAGTTTCAGTTGCACTCTGATCATAATCATTCAGCTAGTAATTTTTATGTTTTCTCTTTTGTCTTTTGTATATATCATGTGTACCTTCGTGTTTTAGTGGGGCTGTTGGATGTTGTTAAGTGCTGCTATAGCTTTACACCATAATGTTCTGCATCGAATTTCAGCCCCTTCGGGTTGGACACAAGATTTATTAACCTATAAAAAGATACTGAAAATTCCAACAGCAGAAGACTCGATGCTTTGAGGGTTATAACTTGTCTCATTGAGGTAATCGCATCTCCTCACTCGCTCGCTTTCAAGAACTATGCTCATAAGAATCCAAAGGAACCACAGATTTAAGGACAGGAGAGGAAAAATCATCTATGATGATGCACATAAACACAAATATATGTGTCCACGCAGATAAGCTATTGAATTCAAGCACAATAATAAAAAGAGGGAACTAAAAGAGAACCCAAAAAAAAAAAAAAAAAACAAGACTTGATAAGTTGAGAGAAACATGTTAACTTATGATTTAATGAAAATATGACCTCGATATGAACAAGGTGAGGAAAAGAACCATGTCCAAACATGAGCAGCAGGGGTTTAAGGCTTTCTTGACACAAGTATTTAAGGGTGAAAACCATCTAAAAACATATTTATAACTTACATCAAGGCTGACAAGAAGATATGTCGAACATAACTCAGCAAAGCATTACATGAACCACTAGGGATTAGCTACCAAATTCCTTTTCACTATTCTAAATAATTTATAGCCATAATTATGTGAAACTGCAAACAATTTATGTTTTCTTTTTTCATATAATCATAGCATTAGCCATACATCCGCTAGCGCTGCATACATTCACGCAAGTCGGAACAGATATACATTTTTTTTTATAAAAACCACTAAAGAGAACCTGAAAAAGTGGGTGCAAAGTAATTACAGACATGGTATATGCAAAAGGTCCCAGGGAAAATAAAATCCAACCTAGAGCTCATATAATTGATTTGACAAAGAACAAGTAGGATAATAAACCTTCCTAGAGATCCATCAATGTGGAGAACTAAGCAAAATGTTTCAACTTATGGACCAGAAGTTCCTTGTTCCCAAATGTCCGCTTGTTGCTCTCCTTCCAAACTTTAAACACTCCACCACAGACCAAGAGGAAATTATCTCCTCTGCTCTTTTGCACATACAACATCAGTTTGGGCCTCAGGTGCCCCAAGTACATTTGTAGATATTTTTTTTTTAATGCATTCGTTTACTTACCGGGGAAGGGAAAAAAAAAATAATAATAATAATAATAATAAAATAAAATTAGAGAGACCAATTTAAGAAATGTTTTTTGTTTCCAAAATTCTTGAAAACCCCTCTCAGATAACTAAACCAAATGGGCTCAAGAAGTTTAAAGCTAATCATCTATGGGTGTATAGATGAGAGAAACCCTTCCTTGTTCCCTCAAAAAGTTTAGTTACCTTCCAAAATGGTTGTCTTTACCTCGTTAGCGACTTTTAAGAGCTGTTCAGATTGTTGTAGTTACAATAGAGTTTAACTCATTTGGAGAGGTGGTGTGTTGGATTAAAAAGAATATGTTATCGGGTTTCTCTGCACCCTTCAGAAAAAAACATCAAGCCTCACATAATCACTAACAATCTCACCTAGAAGTTGGAATATGTTTACATATCACTCATTTCCAAGAAAGAACTACAGACCTCGGAGCTTTCCTTCCAATTCAAACCATATTAATAAATTTAGCATCATATCAAATATTACACACTATGCACATCATTCTCACATAAATAGAATATTATGCTCCTATTGATTGAAAACACAATATGCACATCATTCTCACCTAAATATTGAAGACACAATATTATGCTGCTATGGATTGAAGTAAACAAATTTAAAATTCATAAGAGCAGTAAGCTTGGGGACTGGGGTACCTGAAGAGATGAGAGCTCACGTTCACCATGTAACACCACGACTCTCGAGCACTCTGCGAACCCGAGATCATGAACACGCACCATTGAATCAAACGTGACCAGTCCCACCAAAGCATCCTCCGGCAACTGCGCCACCACAAGCAATAACTCATTTTTAAGTGCTTGAAGCTCCTCCTCGGACGAACAAGCATCCACAACAAACACAAATGCCGGCTCAGCCGCCTGCGAGTCCAAGCCCGACAATGAAGACGACGAGAAAGACGATGCCAGTGACGACGACGACACCATTGAAGGTAAAGACGACGACGACAACCCATTACCCCAATTGGAATTAAAATTCGAACTTGAGGCCGAAGCCTTTTTACCCAATTGGTACTCTACAGTGCTATAGGTCGGAAATAGCTCCGCAGGAAGATTGGTTTCGCCGATTCCGACGTAAGATCGCGGGAACGAATTCCTCTGATAGCAAAAGGGGCAAACCCAGATTCGAGACTGGTAATCTACACGGGCATAAGGGTTTAATACGGCACCGCATCGATTGCATATGAGGGGATCGTAGGGGATTAGTGGGAGTTCATTGACTTGCATCAATGGAGTGCACATGATCGATAGAGGGATCACGAGAGCCGAAGCTTCGGCTTTCGAAACCGGCCATGAACTCCACGACCATCGGAGACCTTCGATTGCCTCCAACTCGACGAAATCCATTTGAAATTTTTTTTAAAATCAGCTTCACTTCATGGGTTTATGAGCAGAAAAGAGAAAACCCATAAGTGTGTGTATAATATATATATATATATATATATAGTAGTGCAAAATCCCTGAATACGTTTAGGGTTCGGGGTTTATGTTTAGATTTGTCTTATGGGTTTCTTTTTGATTTGGGTTTCGGCTCAGATTCCATTGGGCGGAAGGTATCAGAAGTCCGCAAAGAATAAAGTGGCCAAGTAGATGTCCTGTCAGAAAAAAAACATGATTCATGTAATGGCATGTGTGATTATGATGTGATTATTATTATTATTATTATTTTTTTTTGTGCGCAAATTATAGAATTAACTTTTAACATTTTAGTAATGTTATCTGCCAATTTATAAGTGACTAATATGACAATCAGTGAATAAAACACTTTAAGAGAAGACATTGTATCTTATTGATTTTATAAGAAACTTTAGAATGTTTAAATTATATTAGATACAAATTTAACATGTAATAAGACACTTATTTTTTAGAGTGGCTGTATTGTACATATAATAAACGTCTTATGTGTTATGATTAATAAGAAGAATTTTTTTAGGCATTTCTAAAGATATGAGAATAAAATGATCCATTTTTAAAAGTTTTCTTATTAATTATGAAAAAAGAAAAGTTTTGTTATTCTATAAAAATGATTTTTCTAATTTTATTTTCTGTCAGCCAACCGACGTTGAAGTGATCCAAGATTTATTTTATTTTTTTATGATTTGGGTTTTGTTCCTCTTGGCTCTTGGATCACAGAGATTCCGTTATCAAATGGATCAATTTCAAAGATGGAATGAATAAAATGATCCATTTTCCAAAAAAGTACTATATTTTGATGATTGTTTTATTTATTTATTTATTTTTTTTAGGATAAGAATGTCAAAGATTAGTGTTTAGTTGTTAGAGGGAAGGGAGACGATGAAAGATTCAAATATAAGTTTTCGGAAGTAAGTGTAGTTAGGAATATACATGTTTCGGATTGGACCGGTTTAAAAATATTTTAAATTCAAATCGTTCTGAACGGTTCTATAAAAATTAGAACTGAACTTAATCGTAAAATCAATGAAACCGAATCGAACCGAACTGTTAAAAAAAAAAATTTGGTTTAGTTTGGTTTTACAATTCTATTAAAATGGTAAGACAACCATTTTAAATATAAAAAACTAAGGACTTAATTTAAAATGGTAGATTTACCTTACGTCAGTCCCTCCACAGGCTCACAGTTAGTTTTAGCAAAAGAATAGCTTTAATTGATTAGACAGGATTGGGTTGTCTGCTTAATTGAAAATGTGGACTTAATTGAAAATGTGGAAGATTTAATTGACCATAGAAGGAAGGAATGGAAGATTGATACTATAAACTGTGTGTTTAACATTCGAGACAGTAAACTTATTCTTCAAAGGAATTTTTACAGTAAAAAGTGCATATTATGTGGCCATAAATGCGTTCAAAGTCCCAAATTACCTTGAGCCGCTCGAAAATGTATTATGGTTGCTAATTTGTGAGGAAGGACTCAATTTGATTTTTGATGATGTAGTAGTCTTTTTCCTTCAGCAAAATCCATCATTTTGGTTGAATTCGATTCAAAGGAGTGGTAATCTTGTTGCTCATGGAGTGAGCAAGTTGGCTATTAGAGCCAAATCGTCGATCATGGTTTGGTCTTCTTATCCCTCAGTTGTGAGAGATGCCATGCTTTCTGAAGGGTGTTCAATTGAGGCCCAACCAAATGATATCATTTCCATGGTAAGCCTCATTATTTAATTAGCAAATTTAATTAAATCACTTTCAAGTAGGCTTGGGCTTGGGCTTGGGCTTGGGCTTGGGCTTGGGCTAGTTAAATAATTTGAGTTAGCTCACCAGAGTTTGGACTAACGTATGACTCATATTTTGTAGTGGAATCAATTTGTCATGGGTGATGACCTACAAAATTTTAATGTCTACTCCCTATTTCAAGTCTATGCCGGAACTTGAAAAATTGGATTTATCTATTATGGCAAAATATACCCAAATTTAAAAACTCGCACAAAGCCGTCCAATAATTATTGTGTATTGGGTAATTAGTTTAATTGAATGAATTATTAATAAATAAATCATTAATTGATAATATATTTAATGAGTTAATAGTAAATACCCATCACAAATAATATTTTTCAAAATTAAATTACTCTGATTCATTCTCTCTCCCCTCTCATTTTCTCTCTCCACTCTTTATCTCTCTCCTTTTTTTTTTTTTTTTTTTTTTTTTTTTTTTTTTTTTTTTTTTTTTTGTCTCCTTCCGTTTCTCTCTCCTCTTCTCTCGTCTTTCTCTAGCTTGGTGGATAAAAAAATAAATAAATAAGAGTTGGAAAATTAATTAAGTGAACAAAAAATAACCCATATGAAATTTTGTCAAAGTAGAGTTGGATAATCATGAGCAGGTTAGCCAATTATTAAGTCAATAAACTACAAGATATGTAGCACAGAATTGTTTACCTTTAGGGAAAAAAAAATATTACTTACTAATTGAACTTTTAAAATCTGAATTGTTATATATTATTTCTTTATTACCAAAGATGAAATCTGTGGCTTTTGTTATTCTATAAACTTCAATTATACATTTCCATCGAGAAAGCAGTTCTGAAAAATACAATAATAGTAATAATTATTGTGAATATTAAATAAAAAAAAAACAATCATTACCAGAATAATTTTTTGAGTAGATTAAAATATAAATTTATATATATAAAAAAGTCATATACAAGCATAATTTTGTGAGTATTTAGGAGGGAAAAAATGAAAATAATAACAATAATAAATTATGTGAACGGGTCAACGGGTTATATGCGGGTTGATCAGTCTATTTGATACCCAACCTACTTATGACTCTTGTTGATGGATTCATAATGGATTACTAACCTATTCATGATCAGTCCCCTTGTAAACAGCCCAAAACCCACTCAATTGTCACCTCTAAATTTATCCCACTTTTGATCTCCTCCTCTAATTATAATTTCTTCGATGAGAGACTCTTTCATATGATTCGGAGAAGATTGAGGTGCTAATAAAACAAAATTATAATTAATTTATTTTCATACACGGAGTCTTTACACTATGTTCGGTAGGAAAGAAAAAAAATTGAATGGAAGGAAAAGGAGAAGGAATGGATGAGACATCCCTTAAGAAGAGATTGTATATTTCATTCTTTTTGTTCGACTGGATAGAAGAGAAGAGAATAAGATTTTAATTTCTTATGTTCGTTAATTGAGAAGGAAATATAACATTTTAATTATTTTTACCATCATATCCAATAATATTTATAATATTGTAATTTAAAGGGAATAGTATTGTAATTTAAAACTTATATAATTTAGGATAGTATTTAATTTAAAATTTTTATATGAGTCACTTGCCTTCTCTACTTTCTTCTGCCCCCTTTTGTATCATCTCTACTGAATCAAGAAAGTTTGTTCTCTTCTTTTTATTTTCTCTCAATATTTATTTCTTTCTTCCTACCAAACACAGCATGGAGTTTTTAAAATTTGGACTATCATTAGCACATTCTGCTTGAAAATCTAAATAATTAATAATCGAACACTATAGCTACGAGTGACTTCCGACATCTTATCCCAAGAATAGATACAATAGCCAAAGAACAAACAAGGTATCTAAAGGATGTACTCAACGAGAATGCGTCAAATCATGGAACCAAACTTCACACAGTCATCCGCGCTGACTCGTCCATTAGAGATAGGATTGATCTTCCGTGGACCATATAACTTGGGATGCTTTACTAAGTGCTTGTTAATGGTGAAATAATAATGGCATAGGAAGATGCTAATCTGATTGTTAATAGTGTAATTCAGAGCTTTTGTTTTGACCTGATATATGAACATGTTTGTGGATGAAACTGCAATTTGATGATTGGATTAATTTTAACAATCATATCAAAAGTAATTAAAAAGTTCCTATTGTTTTATCTATTTATTTAGAGATCATACAGTCCTTGTAAAAAGGTTAATGATGTGCCAGCATCATTATTAACTTGTAAAAAGATCAATGTCATGATCAAAAATTTATTTCTCATGAAATATTCTCAACCCCCACTATGGACCAACTTGTCAATCATTTCAATGATATGTCAAGGAAATTACAGAGCATAGTGCAAAAATAATTTATGTCGAAATACAAAGTTGAATATGCCCAATTTTGAGTGCTTTGAACCTCTGATAATGTAATTAATTATATGCAGACTTTATAGCTCAAAACATTTTTTTACGCACACAACAAAATAAAGCAGGTGGTTGCCGTGAGTTATTAAGTTTTCACCAAGAAAAATTAAATTGGATGTGGTCACAATAGAATTGACATGGATCCATAATATAAACATTATGGGACCATAATTGAATAAAAAGATTGCCACTCAATTATTCGAGAATTGAGAATGACTTCAAGTGCTCGAAGAATTTTATGATTTCTTTAAAAAGTTATGAATAGAGCTCTCTCATACACGTGGGCCTAATTGTAACAAGAATTTTTTAAAAAATACTATTGTGTAAAAAAAATTAATTAAATGCGTCGTTCCATTTTTAACTTCTCGCAGATGTCTCGATAGCCCAGTAGTTAGTGACTCCAGTGAATTTTGGGAGTGTCGGGTTCGACTCTTTGCACCTACTAATTTAACTTCTAACCTTTCTTACCTTAAAAAAAATAAAATTAAATTAAAAAATCTTAACTTCTTCCAAATAAATGGGGAACAATTCTATGAGGGACCAAAATCACCTCCAATGAGGATCCAATGGCTGAGATCAAACCTACCTCAACTCCAAGATTAACATAATTTTCAACCAGCTTTCATCAACCAAAACAAACAGAAACCCACCTATACCTCAATCAGATACATCATTCCAAAAGCCTCCCAATATATGAATTCCAAAACCCATATAAAACTCTCATAACCAACATAAAACTAAAAAAAAATCAAGCTAAGAATTTCTGAATCAATAAAATGTTCAGAACCAAATTCAAAGAACTCTCAACCCCAAATAAAATTCATACATATTAATTAACAATATTTTCAAAACCCATTTAAATTTTCAAACATTAATGAAGAATAGACAAACCCCTAATCAGCAAAAATGAGAAAAAAAGTTGGTCTGCAACTAGAAACATGAAAAACAAACTGATTCATATGGCAATGAACTCCGTAACAGATCAAACGCAGCTATTTGATTTATACAAT